TCTCTCAACCCCCTTTTTAGCTCTGCAATGGATAGAAGAAAACTGATTTTGCTCACCTTTCGTGAGTCACTGAACCCCTCAAGTGAATGAGTGGAGTTGTCCAATTCGCATGGTTCATCCTGTCCACATGTAGCGGACGGTGCTCCTCCAACCTCCCTTAGGTTAGCCGGCTAACTTAGCTCCAGGGGTGCGGTTACTTGAGGTACCCAGACGGGAACTGACGTATTTCACTACTGAGCTGGATAACCCCCCGAGCTAGACACTCTAACATGACTTGTTGAGTTTAAAATATAAGGATCTTAACCAAAACTCCATTAAATAAAATACTACAAAATCATCTAACTAGCTAGGTATCTATTAATCTTATATCTTATTTATAGTATTTTCTTTAATAGCGTTATGGTGGAAATAAACGTACTTGAAATTAGTAGGTTGGGTGGGGTGCGCAGCTCGCATGTGAAATGTGAAATACGCTAACTAGGCCCTAACATCCATCAAGAATTGCAATATATAGATACCGAGGTCAGTAGAATGGATCTGACCATTTCTTGGATAGTCAAGCGGGTAGAAGACACTCATCAGTCGGCCCTAAAAAAAGGTCTGCTTGATTCATCAACCAAATGAAGCAGAAGAAGGGTGGAATTGAGTCATACATTCGTTGACATCAACATGAGTTGTTCACACAACAGCCCCTCTACGGCATTTTTCCATCGTTTTCCTTATTAAAGTCGTGTGCAAAATGAGTTGGGTTCTTTCCTCGGGGTTCACCTGGCTTTAGCCACCTAACCCTGGGCCCCCGTATCCTGAATCAAGAGTCAGAATTCATCATAGGGAGATAACAACCGAAGAGACCACAATGGAACAAAGCGGGAGCCGTGAACACCCTACAAGTATTTCGAGGTCGACTCCATAGAAACACGAAACATCCTTATTCAATTCCAATGGATCAATTATTAGACACGGAACAAGATCCCCGACACTACAACCAAGAAGAGTTGTTTGCGCGTGAGCATGATGATGGATCTGATCAAAGGAAGACTTGGCTCGAGTGTGTGCACAAGACTATTTGAAAACTCCCCCGAGAATGGTGAAAGTATCGACGGGACTTCGGAGAAAGGGCTGTGTCGAGGGCATTCGACTTGTGGCGGTCACATCCTGTGTAGTATGTAATATACCTACGACTCTACTCTGAGTGCCAGTAAAGTAGGCGGCGGTTCAAATATGAAAAACCCATCCGACAGGGGAAATCCAGTACACAGAGGTGCATATAGACAAATAGCCATGTCTACAAATGAGTGGCTAGAGCAATTTGGCACCACTATCCTAAGGGTTTGTCTGATGTGGCCGTAGAGCGCTGTTCTTGATGATGGACCAGCGATCATTTTTGCCCACTACCCGTGGACGTTGGTAACGAGCAATTCAATTCAACAGATAAATCGTGACATACCACGCACAAAATACATGGAATTTGTACAGAGACCAATTCAAGCTTCAATAGTGTTACGCACGCATTAAAAGCGGCGAATCAAGAAACAGAGTCAACTAGAATCGACCTTACCGAGACTTGATGCAGAAGAGAGAACCAAGGAAATGTGGTATTTTCAATAGACGCCCGAGTGATTTGGGGACGCACAAAGGAGACGACAAAAACAGGGTAGGTGCGGGTTTGTAGAGCCAGTAAGAAAACAAGTGAGGAAAATGAAAAGGGGAGATTGCAAAGTGTGGTGACTTATTCATTCACCGTGGGTGCTCTTCCCGCCGCTGCAGAGGGGTTGAAACTGGCCGACTGTAAAGCATCGGGTAGCTTCAGAGGCGCAGTAGGGGAGGACTTCAGTTTGTTGATCTTCTCGCCCTTCAGCACCTGCTCCATCTCCTCCTTTGTGAGCGTCTCGTATTCGATGAGCGCCTTTGTCAAAAGCTCAAGTTCGTTGCGCTTTTCGGTCAGAATTTTGGTTGCTCGGTCACGGGCTTCTTCCACAAGCCGGCGCACTTCACCCTCGATCTCTTGTTTGGTTTCCGATGATAGACTGTCGTAGTTTGTAGACAGGTCGACATTGCCGAGTTTCTTGGAATATCCGAACCTGGTGATAAGCGTGAAGGCCGTCTCGGTGGCACTTTGAATATCCTAAAAAGATCGTGAGCATCAAGAAAAGAACCCTCAAACAACAAGCAAGACTTACAGCTGAGATACCACTAGTGACATTGTCGTGGCCAAAAACCAGCTCTTCAGCAGCCTTGCCCCCCATGGAGACGGCGATGTCCGCCAAGTATTCGGTGTAGTTCCGGGAAACAGTATCCATCTCCGGCAGGAAGTGAGTGATGCCAAGGGCCATGCCACGGGGCACAATGGTGATCTTGTACAGCGGAGTGGAGGAAGGAGAGAAGTGTGCAACAAGTGCATGGCCAGCCTCGTGGTACGCAGTCAGGAGCTTGTCCTTGTCCTGAATGATGCGACTGCGAGCCTCGGCGCCCATCATAATCTTATCCTTGGCCCAATCGAAGTCGAACGAGCCAACAAAAGCCTTCCGGTCACGGCTGGCATGGACTGCAGCTTGGTTGACCAAGTTCTCCAGATCAGCACCGGAGAAGCCGGGAGTGCCTCGTGCAATGACGCCGACGTCAACATCAGGGCCGAACTGGATTTCCTTCATGTGATGTCTCAAGATGTCCATTCGGCCACGAACATCAGGCAGGTCTACAACGACTCTGCGATCGAATCGACCAGGTCGAGTGAGTGCCTTGTCGAGCAGTTGAGGGTAGTTGGTGGCAGCAATGATGATGACACCACTGGTCTGGGAAAATCCGTCAAGTTCCGTAAGCAACTGGTTGAGCGTCTGCTTAACATAAGCAGCATCGCGCTCGTTTCGCTTTCCACCTATCGCATCCAGTTCATCGATGAAAATGATAGCTGGAGCCTTGCCACGGGCCTGAGCGAACAAATCACGAACACGCTTGGCACCAACACCGACGTATACCTCATCGAATTCCGATCCAGACATGTAGAAGAATGGAACACCAGCTTCGCCAGCAACAGCACGCGCAAGCAAAGTCTTACCAGTACCGGGAGGACCGACCAAGAGAACGCCCTTAGGCAGCTTACCGCCTAGGGAAGAGAAACGATCTGGGTTGAGAAGGAATTCCACCAGTTCCTGAAGTTCGTCCTTGGCCTCGTCACAGCCATGCACATCACTGAAGCGAGCAGTTTGCTGTTCGGGCTGAGCTTCTTTGTCCTGCGCACCTCGGACGTTCTTTAGCACGCCAGTAGTTTCAACCAAAATCGTGACCGTGACCAGAGAGATGTAAGTGAAAAAGCCGAAAATGAGCAAGAATTTGACCCAGCGGAACACCGTGCTTCCGAGAGACTCGTCAACCACAACGTAAAGAGGAGCGTCCTTAGCACCAGTACCATTTTGTTTTCCCATTCCGATTTGACTACCAGTAGCCCGGGCAGCGACCGCTTGACCAACTGCTTGGAGCTGTTCAGGGCTCAGATTGTGATTTGACCCGGCGAAAGCTCCAGCTCCAGCATCGGCACCACCGATGCTTGACTGGGCCTGTTGGACCAATGCTTCAGTTGTAAGATCACTTGCAAAATGACCGCTTCGGTGTCGTTCGATAACTATGCCTGGCATTTTGGCGCGTAATAGAGCCGAATAGAGAGCATTTTGAGCATCTGCGTTGTTCGGGCTCTTGTTGGCGATCTTCTCTTTCTGAGCTAGCACATGATGCCAAGATCCTCCGTATAAGAACCGCTGCTGCTGAATCTTCATTAAACCATTGAAGTTCGGAGCCGGGCGTAGGGAGCTAAGGCGGAATGGAGTTAGAGTCGAGTATGAACGAGCACTGGGGATAGCATGGCGGATCGGCGTAAAAGATGAGGGGGCATGAAGTGTGTTGTCTATTATCGATGGTTAGCCATTTTTCATCAACACAGGTTTTTCATGCCAAGGCATACTTCGGTTCAGCAATGACGGTAGTGTTTGTTGCGAAGGCCGGCTGACGATCTCTGCTCGTAAGGCTTCAATGGAAACGGCTTCAAGGTATTCAGGCAAAGTCGCGCGTTTAGCGATCTGTTTCTATCAGCATGGAGTGACGCTAAATGGATAATAGGTTATCCCATACTGTCTCATTTCCTGGTCGGCTGGTAGTGCGCTGGAGAGACTCGCTGAACTTGGTCGACGGAGTTCGCCCTGTCTGCTTCCATGGAGCGGCCAGTACGTTGTACATTGAAGGCCAGAGATCCGATGTTATGACAGCGACATTCTAGTAGCAGGTTGCTTGTGTTAGTTATGAAGTTTGTATGATTAATCGCGAAGTGGTACTCACAGGCATGGGAATCGGGACTTGGAAGGCCATGACTGTCCGATGTACGGCGGCACTCGGCCGGGTGCGAGGATTGGCGCGTGCTCCTCTTGGTCAAATTTACAGCCAAAATGCAAGATTGAATCTGTCAAGCCCGAGCTGAGGATACTGACATTGCTGACGCAAGAATGAAGATAGAGAGGAAGGTGGTAGTGTGCTCCGCTTTGATGCGGCGAATGGCGATGGCCACCTGTGTCCGAATTGGCGACCGTCTGGATGACACGTGATTTGGATGGCACGTGCATGGTATAACCGGAAGTTCTTCATAGTGTCGTTCAGCTCTCATCAGCTCCGATGAAGAAATGAGGAGGTCATTTTCATGGAGAATCTCGAGTGACTCAATTGTGTATGATATGACTTGGCGGGGAAAAGTAAAACTAAACGGGGGTAGTAGCTAGGAAGAAGCCAGATACACTTGTTGTCAACGATGATGTTTTACAGAAGCTGCCCATGGTTCGCAACTCAATCTTTACGAATTCCGACGTCTTGACATCCACGGGCATTTGAATTTCATTGCCCTTCTTGGAGCTCTTAACATGGCCCTGTGATACCTATCTATCAATGGCTTTAGAGACCTTCCAGCCTACGCTCTTTCTCAAGGACGACAACTCTTCTTGGCCTGCATACCTTGCCCTCTGATGCATATTGAGATGTCTCAAAAATCAATCTTCTTGGTAGGGGCTCCGTTGCCATCAAGTCTGAACTGGGATACAGACGAGCTTCTCAACACGCCCATACCTCCCTTCCACGAGAATGCGAAGAGCCCAGAACAGCAGCTATCCCTGGATCAACCAACTGCAAGATGGAGAGTGTTACGGTCATCAGTCGATGGGTTAGGTGATAATTGTGAATCTTTCCAACGCTATGAGGATCCAGCCTTTTTCATCTCACATCAACTGGCTGTTGCGACAGATGTGACAGATGCGCCACAAGGGCATTCAGAAGATTCGATTCTTCAATTCTACGACCATTCGTTTGCCATCCACGAAATCTCGGAGGTAGCTAGCTCAGATGTGTACATAGCAGATACCACACAGGAGAGCAGTTTGGGTGAGGGTAGCGGAGTGGCTTGCTTTACAGAGTTGGATAGAGCAGACCCGAGCTCACCTCGCATCCTTCATATTCCTGGACCCCTCAGCAATTTGCAAGATCTTCCCACATCCAGGTACATTCAGTCCATCGCACCGCAAACGATGACGGTGAATATAATTGTGGGGGTGTTGGCCATTCACCCCCCACGTCGGATCGTTACCCGACAATGGAAAACCGAATTGGACCTTGTCGAGCTTGTCGTTGGAGACGAAACCCAGGCTGGGTTTGCAGTTAATTTTTGGCTCAAGCCAGATAAGCCGACCGCTGCCAAGAACAATGAGGCGGATCGTCTGGGTCGATCGCTGGCGTCGCTTCGACCCCGCGACGTCATTTTGCTCCGAACCGTCGGACTCAGCACATTCCAAGATCGAGTGTACGGACAGAGTCTGCGCCGAGGGATGACTACGGTCGAGTTGTTGCATCGACAACGGGTGGATGTGACGGATGCGGTTGGATTTTACCAGGGCAGAATCCAAGAAGCTAGCTCCCAGGATGATCAACCGATTCGCAAGGCTCGCCGAGTACGAAATTGGATGCTCCGATTTGTGACGGATTCGGTTGGAATGTCACATCCACGTGGACTGCCTCCGGATACACAGTAGTCAACTGTCGTTCATTGATTTCATACTTTAATGCTATATTGTATGATCGGTTAGCTCGATCGACTTGATTTCCGAGTACAAAAACTCTACTCCGTACTCCGTCCCTGCCATCGTATTTGAGGGAGAGGGGGAACAGAGAAATAACCCCTCACCACCTCCCCTCATCACTTAAAATTCAGGGGCGACACCTCATGACCATAGGAAATTGAGATTTACTTTCGCGGGCGCCATCTGCATTGCCCCGGTAGACACCATGCAACAATGGACACATTGGCCGGGGACGGCTAAACTAGTGAGACCTCAGGAGACATTCGGAGACTTGATGCACGCGTCAGAGCTGTCGAATTTTTGGAATGCATGTACTTGAAAGAATTCTCATGGGAATATAATACTCCGTCCAACATACTCCGTACTCCATACTTATATCAATATAAATCCCAAAACAGCACCCAACTAGCTGAAGTTGAAGTATACCCCTTTTTCCCGCAAACAGAGGCCGCTCCAATCACTGCCACTCACGTGTCCCCACTTGGACGAAAATAAATCCATCAACGGCCAGGTGTTCCCTAAATAACTGAGAGTCTCTCTCTCCTTTTGCCTCTTCCTAGCCTTCTCTGCTCTATTCCTATTTTTTGATCTAATTTTTCTACTTTCAATTTCAATTCATCATGAAGGGTATGTTTTGCAGTCAATGCTTCCACTTTTCCCCCCCCCCGCTGACCCATCTACAGCTCTCATTCTTGTTGGAGGTTTCGGAACCCGTCTGCGCCCTCTGGTAAATATACCCTTTAATTTTTTTTTTAAAAAAAAATGTCTTATTCTCTAATCTGCAATGCTGATGCTAAATTGTTCTAGACCCTCACCCTTCCCAAGCCGTTGGTGGAGTTCGGAAACCGGCCCATGATCTTGCACCAGGTCGAGAGCTTAGCTGCTGCGGGTGTCACTGATATTGTTCTTGCCGTCAACTACCGCCCGGATGTAATGGTCGCGGCCCTCAAGAAGTATGAGGAGCAATACGGAGTTAACATTGAGTTCTCCGTCGAGTCCGAACCGCTGGGCACGGCTGGCCCGCTCAAGCTGGCGGAGGAGATCCTGGGCAAGGATGACTCGCCTTTCTTTGTCCTCAACTCGGATGTTATATGCGACTACCCCTTCCAACAGCTCGCCGACTTCCACAGAAGCCACGGCGATGAGGGTACTATCGTCGTTACCAAGGTGGATGAGCCCTCCAAGTACGGTGTCGTCGTCCACAAGCCCAACCATGCCTCCCGCATCGATCGCTTCGTCGAGAAACCCGTCGAATTCGTTGGCAACCGCATCAACGCTGGTATCTACATTCTGAACCCCAGTGTTCTAAAGCGTATTGAGCTCCGGCCCACCTCCATCGAGCAGGAGACCTTCCCCGCCATCTGTAAGGAGGGCCAGCTCCACTCCTACGATCTTGAGGGCTTCTGGATGGATGTCGGTCAGCCCAAGGATTTCCTCACCGGTACTTGCCTGTACCTCACTTCCCTGGCCAAGCGCAACCCCAAGATGCTTGCCCCCCACACAGAGTCCTACGTTTATGGCGGAAATGTCATGGTAGACCCCACCGCCAAGATCGGCCAGAACTGCCGTATTGGTCCCAATGTGGTTATTGGTCCTAACGTCGTCATTGGCGATGGGGTCCGTCTCCAGCGCTGCGTCGTGATGGAGAACTGCAAAGTCAAGGACCACGCTTGGATCAAGTCCACCATTGTTGGCTGGAACAGCTCTGTTGGCCGCTGGGCGCGTCTGGAGAACGTCACTGTTCTCGGGGACGATGTCACCATCGCCGACGAGGTGTATGTCAACGGTGGCTCAATTCTACCCCACAAGAGCATCAAGCAGAACATTGATGGTAAGTCTTGCCCTATACCGATTACCCTAAACTTGTACTGATGAACTGGTATAGTTCCCGCGATCATCATGTGATCCTCCTTTCCTCCTTTCCTCTTCCTTCACGTCGCTATGCCTTTTGAAATATCTCCCTTCAACTCTCGTGCCGATACCACCCTCCAGTCCGCCCTCCTTGATGCATAGAACCGGAGTCGTTTACTGCGTTTTCTTCTCTTCTGTTGCCGGCTTGCCTTTTCTTCCGTGACACTTTATCGCCCTCGCAACTTCCTTCCTTCCGTCCGATAATCAATGCATTCGGAAACCTAGATGGTGAAAGAATGCGATTTCGGCTGTTTTGCAAGAAATTACCCTTTTTAGTCTTGATTTTCTACGTTTTCCCTTCCAATTCACCCCCCGTTTTAAGTGCTACATAATAAGGGGTTCGTCATTACATCCCCGCTCCCTTGCGTTTGGCCAATTTTCTTCTTTCCTTTTTTTTCAATTTCTTTTATTACTGCTGGTCTTGTGGCAATTGGTGATCAAGGAAATCATGCCACATATGTTTTAATGAGAACATGGGCGTGGGGCTGGTTCTGTTGATGTAAATAATGGGAGGCGAAGTTCGCAAAAAAAAAAAAAGAATTCAAGTTTAGTTGGTCTTCAACACAATTTTAAAGATGTCTCATATCAGGTGTTCTTGCAGAAGTATTGTTGACAAAATATTACACACAATTTTACATAAACATCTAGTCATTGAAGCTGTTTTGCTTCATGTCAGTCAAGCAGCAAAAAACCAAAGGAGAGACTTGAAGAAGCATTTGTGGCTCTTTGATAAAGTCTTTCTTTGCCTCCATACCGTCTAGGAACGTGCCTCAGCTTGATCCAGGATCTCATCCCACTGAATTCTCAATTCTTCCATTTGCTTCCAGCACTGGCGTCCAAGTTCTTCAAACTCTTCCCTCTTGTCTTTGGTAAGATCTTCTGCGCCACGCTTACGACGTCGTAGCCGATCTGCCTCAACAACAGGCGTGCCGATAACACCGCCATGTCCCCAGCCGTCGACCTCAGTAGAAACGGCACTTTCAATTCCACGACGCCCGCAAGATGAACCCCATTTTACTCTACCACCACCAGCCTGGTGGTAAGGTTCTTCAGCAGCTTCCATATCAGCCTGCGATGCCAGCGCGAGAAACACTGGCGCGCAAGCTCCAAGGTATGTAGATAATGGATGCCAAGGCGAACCCAGCATTCTCGCAGCCCAGAAAGCTGCAATCATCGCCCACGCAAGGGGAAGAATAAGCGGGATGATCGATGTGGCGCAGATGCCAGGGTGAGAGAGATACATGCGCGGGGTCGCGTCCGGGGAATCTGTGTGAATGGCATGGGTCTCAAGCTCCGTCTCGGACTGCAAGAAGCTATCGACCGCCCAGGGGGCCGTGCTCGGCAAATTGGAAGTCAGAGCTAGGATATCTGTGAGAGCCTTAGAAGACTCATACGGCGCATCAGTGCGTAAACCCTGGATATCATCAACTTTGAAAAAGTTCCAAGTCGCCTCTAGACTGGAAACCCAGACAACACGGCCAGGCCCGTTGGTGCGCGCCCGCTTGAGCAGTGGAGCCACGTTATGGGCCAACATATAGTGCCCGAAGACATTTGCACAAAAGACTGCCCCAAGTGCGGGCTCCTCTTCCGTCTTTGTTTGCTTTGCTGTTAACACACCCGTCGGTGCGAGCTTGTAGGACGGCCAGGTTACCGAGTGAAGGAGATCTGTGCAGACGTCCCAAATGGCCCTGGGCCAGTTGATACCGGACCAGCCGCCTAGCCCGGCATTGAGGACCATCGAGTCGAGTCGGGGAAGGGTGTGAACTAATTTGCGGGACAGTTCGCGCACTGAGCGGAGATCGCCGAGGTCGACGCTCTCGGAGACGAAGTGGATACGCGCCGCGTCAGATGCAGAGGAGGTTGATCGGAGGTGTGCTTCTAGTCTGCGGATTGTGTCTTGGGCTTTGCGCGCGCTTCGAGTTGTAAATATTATGGTGAGCGACTCGGACTCTGGGTGGGAGGAGAGGAACTCATCGGCAAGACGGCAGCAGATCGAAAATCCGAGACCGCTACGGTTGGTCCAAGTTAGTATGAGAAATCCAGTTAAACGGGTTTGTTGAGACTTTTGTACCTGTTGGCTCCTGTCACAAGTATGTACAACATTGTTTGCTCAGTAGCAGACTTGGCCTGATCCATGGCTTGCAGCTCCAGTTAGTTTGTTGACTCGGCAACTTTTCGATAACGGAGATAGGGGTGTGATAAGATGTGCGACAATGGAAGCTGGTGGAGGCTGGAGAGGTTATTGTTGTCGCAACAGGCAATGTACTTGAAAATTTGCTGCAGCTAACTCTACAGAGGAATCCGCTCGAAGTGAGCACTGGCTATTGTCTGTTGTCTGTTGTCGAAAATCCACCGAACGGGAAAGTACCTTTCCCACGCATATCACGTGCCCAACTCTAAATGTTATCCTTATCGGACTTGTAGATGTTCCTCGTCATGGATACCCGCTCCTCACAGTTCATGGCTGAAATCTGCTAAATCCCAAATGTCGTGCAGTCGACACAAGGGAAGTCATGGCAGTCAGATTTGAGAGATTTCTCAACACAACCGGATTTTTCTTCTTTGCCCTCATCCTCTGCTGCCTCATCATCCTCACACCAGCAGATGCCGTTTACCAATGCTACGAGACCAATCGATTCACCAACATCTTTTTCATTGTCGGCGCATATATCATTACTCTTTTAATTGCTTCCCTCATATATGCGACACGCATTTACACAAATCGGAGTGCACTCACCGGCATACCCAAAGCCTGGATCCCCGTGGAAAAGGAGGATGTGAACAAGAGCGTTAGGCGACTGGTGAAGGAAGGTCTCGTCCGCAGTGCCGTTATCGCGTATCAAGCCCGCCCGCGCGATATCTCCACCGACGAGGACAACTTCCAAAAATACAGACCGCTCCTCATTGACCCCGAACGACCCCCATGGGGCCATGTTGAACACCCCGGCTGGTCATCCCCTGATTCGCCAGACTTGCCAAATCTGCCATATCGCACGGTCATACAGGAGCTCCCCAGCCTGATTGAAGCCAAAGCCGTCTCCCTTGCCCCTGCCGATTTACTATCGCCTGCGCCTACATATCACTTCGATCCGTCAGGCGACCTTGCGACACACTCTCTCCCAGATACACGCGTGGTGGAAGTATTACAACGACCTGCCTCAATGGGGGTGAGAGAATATATCCGCCATCTGACATCCCTCGGCGCGATATATCCACCAGCACTCGGTGCGGATTTCCTTGCGCTGTACGAACAAGCCCGATTCTCGCCGCGCGAACTACACGAAGCGGAATTCCGCGACCTAATGCATCTCTTCGCAGAGATTCTGAGAGGGATGACATCCCTTGCACCGCCGATCCTGGATGAAATTCGCGACAGCGCAAGCTACCGACAAGCCTACAGCGAATCCAATATCGGGCCCTCGGATGAAGAGGGAGAAACAGATACCGTGGGGACATACGGTTACGACGGGGCTCCAGGGTCTATGCGAAGTAACAGCCCACGCCCATCGAATGCGTCTACCTGGGAAACTCAGTCCGGGTATGACACTGCACCCGCAATGCAGAGCCCCACCTCGGAAATTTCGACAGACAGTGGATCCTATGCGACACAAAGCCCTTTTCGCACACCTTCTACGAGGTCTCTACGACGCGTGGCATCGGGCCAATCTGGCAGTTCGGGGGGAAGTGTCATTCGTCTGGTGCAGCCACGAGATCCGACAGACTTTCCGTATACAACTGCCTACGCTGGACGTAGGCAGTAATAATGTTCCATTCATGCCCTGTACATTACTTTACTATAGAGCAACACTAATTGGTCGCCCAATTGCGCCAACCTTGGAGGTGGGGTGGACTTAGTCATGCGGAAAACATTCCGAGAACCTTGGCAAACCTGCAAAATGATTGATAAGATCAATTTATCTTTTAACCACGCATCATAAGAACAACTGGCCAAACCGGCAGACTTCCTCTTTTCTTGGACTGTTGAAGAGAACTATAACATCCTGTAACTATGCATCTCTTTCGCCGAGGGACGTCCTCCCTTTTTAACTCCTCCAATGCCTCTGCCGCCTCCTCCAAGACCGACGTCACCACTGACGCAGTGGGCGATATTGCCCTCGCCGCAGAGGGATTTCAGACAATATCATCAAGCGATAAGCTTTTCAAGAATGTCGACCCAGCGGTCGACGGTGAAGACTGCTTACACGACTGCGCGACATGCACAATCAAATACCCTGCCAAGTTTGATGTCGATCACCAAGACGAACTATATGGACAAGTCAACGGATGGGCAACGCACCTGCTCGTTGCCACCGGCAAGTCCGATTGGGTGAGAGATGTGGCAGACGAGAAAGGGAGCGTCATGGAAGCCATTGAGAAGGGAGGACTGGAACCGAGCAACGGAGTATGATAGCATCCACCACCCTCCCTCTACACCGGTCGAAACCAACCCACACAGAAGCTCACAAATCCCTTCTTACAGCGACTCAAACTGTCCGCGTCAAACATGCCCGTTCCAGACGACTATCACATGGCCGACGCAGGCAAACAGCCAACCAACGTCCTCCTACTGCCTAGCTTCACTGTCGTTGAACACGTCACCCCACAGCTAGTCCCAGATCTGATGGAGAACTTCATCAACCGGTCTCTGACAACAACAACGCCACTAGGCGCAATTCCACCCCCACCCGAGAAACCAACCGAGGCAGACCAAGACCAAGACCCTACGCAAACACAAGACCTCCCACACCCATCCACAACATCAATCACCACATCCCTCCAGTCTCACCCCTGCCCGCATGCAGCAGTTATTTTGCTCTGCTCGCAGCGCACGCGTGACGCAAGATGCGGGCAATCCGCGCCTCTACTGCGCCGCGAGTTCGAGCGCCACCTGCGCCCCCTCGGTCTGCACCGCGATATGGACGACCAGCGGCCTGGCGGGGTGGGTATCTACTTCATTAGCCATGTCGGTGGGCATAAGTACTCTGCGAATGTGATTGTGTACCGCCGCCGGGACTTTGATTGGTACAAGCGAGACACTCCTGCGGATGGCGAGGGGAGGGTCGAGGATGAGGGTGCCGCGCAGGGAATCTGGCTGGCGCGTGTGCGGCCGGAGGAATGTGAGAATATTATTCGGTATACTGTCTTACAGGGGAAGGTACTCAAGCCTGGGCAGCAATTGCGGGCTGGGTTTGATCGTGAGCGCGGTGTGACGAGTTGGTAAAGTTAGGGTTTGGTTGGAAGTTAGCATAGTGGATATAGAAAGGTATATCACGGACATGCGTATGACCATACTGGGCTGATTCTGGGTTGTTTGATGTATCTCATTTGTGTACATAGTGTTCTTTATGTGGGCCACGACCGAATTTCTAACCTGGGATAGTTACATTTGGCTGACACTGCAGATGCCTGAAAATTTTGACCCATCACACAGAACTGGCTCTAGCGAGGAAACATTCAAGACTATTTTCGGCCACACGAGTAACAATCTTACCTCTAGCATGTCCCGTCCTCAGCTTCTGGAAGGCCTGCGGCACCTTGGCGAAAGTAAACTTGCTATCAATCACGGCCTTAGGTTTTTCTTCAGTCATCCACCACGCAATCTGTGGTCAAGGCTCGTTTAAAATTCTTCGCATTCTGTGAAGCACGCGAGATCCTACCGAAGACAAGCTTGCTCTCTTTAAAGGTGAGTACCGAGGCATGGGCGGCAACAACTCGGCCGCAGAGGTCAAGGCCAGGGAATGGTGGGGTGGCGTTGAGCCGTAGACTCCATGCTGGATTCAGTGAGCTTGTGGTCAACTGGGTTGAGGGAGACGGTAGGAACACGGATAATGAGTTGGTCTATAGTAAGAGACGAGGCTGCTGGGATGGGACCGGTGACCATGTGAATGGCATCCTCAATGTTATCTTTGATGTTGGCTTACTGCCACATCTTCATTGTATCTGCCACAATCATATGACAATGGTTGATGGATCTGTCTATGAAGCTTTGGGGTGAGTAACGTGGTTTCTATAACTTGCAGTGGGGTTAGTCCACCACTTAGTGAACACGAGAAGAATGTCGGACACTTAATGCCGTCGTAGTTCTGGGCCTAAGTTCTTCTCTACCGCTCACACGGCGGCACTCGTCCATCCCGAAACTTCACCTGAGATGAAGCACTCTTTTGACCAAACGACAAGGTGCTTTGCATGGTTTTCTCTCGGTTAGCAAAATGACTCAGGTAGAAATATTTTTAATAAGACCGCTTTGTGACGTACCCAGAATACTCGGCTGTCCCCTACGAAGAACGCGGAGGTTATTCCAATCAATGGTATAACCATGACAGTGAATTTCCATGATCTTTGGAGTTCCGCTCGGCTACCGATGGTATCAGAGGCTGATCATCAGGTGTTGTTAAGCTGGAACACCTTAGAATTGTCAGAGTGGGACCGTTTTGCGTTTTCTAGAGAATACATCACTAGCACTGCCACGGATAGGGATGCCTTTAATGGCATAGGTAGAGGAGTAACATTAAGCAAATGTCAAGTGCTTGGACGACTAGAGTGAGGTAGACGAATGCGGAATACCAGAGCCCAGCAAGCATGAAGATAAGCTGATAGAGATATTATCCACATTGTACTACATATGTATGCGCATCACAAGACTGCTGCGTGGGAGACAGCACAGCCTGTATAAAAAAAAATTGCAACTAACTACAACATGTGGAGAGAGTTCGAGTTCGAGTTAGTATACTCTCTCTTTCTTTCACTTTCTATTCAACCTATCCTATAGGAATGTTATCTACTTATTTCTCTAGTTGTAGTAAACCGTACAAAGACGATTGGTGCACCTGCCCAGGTGGGAAGGTCCACCTGGTCCACCTCCAAGTAGAGCTTATGTAATACAAAAACGCTGCCCAGTGTGCTAATGTGCCGAGATCGGAATTGTCCCGACCTGAAGTCGGGCCCCGGCCCGACCAATCTTGGACCTCGGGAAGCGAGCTCGCTTATCTAACACCCACCTGGCCTGTGCCCAGGTGGAAACCCACATATCTCAGGGGTGTGCTCAATTTTACTCGGACGAGTGTATTTGTGTGGATGATTGGGTAAACTCACATCTGATAGACCATATAGTATGTAGTTAGTAGGGCTAGGATGTTGTAGTATGCTCTTCATCTGGACATCAGACCATTTTTACTCTCTACGGAATCCATTGCACCATCTCTCAGGTGCATCCACATCACTGTATCTCAAACCCAAGAAATACACATCCACAAGATTCCAAGCAAGGAGGATATAAAGCCACGCTATCGAATGTGCTCCATGCCAGTTGGTTGCATCAAGGCGTGCATGCGTACCCGACGGTCGAGACGGCCCTACCAAGACATCCACGCCGTTTAACAACGTACATCAGATGACTGGCAGGGGGATGATGCAGTTCTACAAAGCAGAACGACGCCAAGCCCTCCAGCTGTACCTCAGCCCTCGGGTTTGATTCTCCTCTGGGCTCCACTGGGCTTGTTAGAAAGTAACATGAGACGGTGATTGCACAGAATGGAAGAACCGTTGTGTTCCGGCGTTGCGTTTATCGAGGGGCCCCCTTGCAAGGAAATCAGGAAAGTGGTGCGGGAATTTTTTTTACTTTGCTTTTTTTGCGGGGGAGGACGTCCCGAGATCTCTTCTATATTATGTTGTACACATTCGTGCTAGAAAGGAGCCCGGAGATGATGTCTTTCTACGGCAACAGATCCCGCATTAAGGAGGTGTGCCAAATTCTTTAGTTTTGCTGTCAGCTGTGATAGGGGCTTGCGGTAAGTTTCTAATTTCTTTTTCGGGGGGAGGTTTTTTTTTTTTCTGATTTGATCACATGCTTCTCTTCTATCTCGCTTGCGCCGTGGACCTTCAGAACCAACATTTGGTGGTTTCCAGCTTCGATATTGGAGCTCAAATGCCTGCAAGGGGTTAATTGGTGGCTGTTTACCTTTTAGCCCCAAGATCCTAGCCGGTGAGTTATCACTTAGCGCTGATAGGAGGGCAAATCCCGACTACTGTTGACCGACATTCACACAACGCGAGTGAATGCGATCTCGCGGAGAATGACCGAGAAATTCGAGGGATTTATTTTCCAGCCTGCTGGTTCTGCTCGGGGAAATGTTATCATTGACCGTTTCTCGAAACCACAATCCAACCCTTTGTAGGGAGAATATGATCGCAGTCATGCCGTATTTCTTTGGTGGGAAAGCTCGCGAGGTCACTAACCAGATTGCCACCGAGTACAGAGTAAACAGAGCCCACCTAGCTTCTTAGCTTCTTAGCTTCCTGACCAGAGTTGGCGATAGCTGCCCGAGCTTCTCCCATTAGTGCGTCGCCATGCGCGCGTCGGAGATTAATTTTGTTGCTTTTTGGGGCAGGAGAAGATTTGTTTTTGTAGTTCCTGTTCGCTGGCAAATTCATCGTATTCTATTTTATTATTTTTATTTTTATTTTATTTTTTTGTATAATACACCTTGTAATTTCATATGGAAGAGGTGATTGACGCAGAAGTGTAGATATTTCCGATCTGTTGACTAGTTCACATTCCCTTTTCATTTTTACTATTGTACACGGTACATTAATAACATCTCTCGTATACAACCCATTACCAATAATTACCAACGATAGCGGCTTAGCCACAAGCCTAAAGAGGGGCACCTTGCATAGGGTCAAATCAGAGAACTCACCAACATCATCTCTCAATCGCCAAGATGAAACAAAATGCGGGGTAGTCAGAGCTTCTCAGATCGTATCACCAACCAAGGGAAAGAAGAGAAAAGCAGAGTCGAACTTTTCAACGCTCGTGAAACTCATTCCTTGCGTGACGCTTATGCAGCTTCGAAACAGCCTTTAAACAGCTTCTGACTCTCGTTTCTCCGTGCTTTGGTACTTATTTCGAAAAACACGGTAGAATTTCCGTTCGAAATATGACACGGCCCTCCAAAGATTCCATCCATATCCGGAGGTCATCCCCTCCACAAAAGGAACAAGTTTGTCTACTAAAGAACGAAAGGATCCGAAGACCAGGCTCTAGGTATTTGACTGGTGCCTCGTTGCTTTTGCGCATGCAAGCACACGGGGGATTTTTTTTTTCTTTCCAAGTTCTCTTGTTTTCTCGTCAAGCTTACGAGTTGCCCGGATGAGCATCGTAATATGTAAATACACATCTGTGCCTTGAGCATGCATGCTGTGCGGTACCTACCTGATCCACTTCCGCATACACAATAGCCGAGTGATTACTGTTTTATCTACCGTGCCTCGATGGAATCGATTAGGGCGAGGTCAACGATAGTCGCAGTTTATCTCTTAGGGGCTGTCTCTTAGGGGCTGATCAGCAGAGAATTTGGCGCTTCCTTTCGTTGGCGGGATTTCTTTTCAAAGTTTCGTAGCGTCGCCACGAACGCATCTGTCCGTCTGGAGCCTTTGGGAGGAATGACGATGAGCGGTGCCAGTTGGACACTACAACAATCTCGAGTTAGCCGTTCTAGGTTTTGAATCAACATTTTTCTATCTTCCAACGGGTTCGATTTCTCATCAATTTCTTTAATGACATCTTGATTCCGTGCTATGTTGTGTCCGATTCCCTCACTGGCTGAGGTGGGCTGCATCCATAGCCTCTATTAGCGAATGTTTGTGGGCCCTCAAGCCTACACATGCTCTTGCCTCGTTCACTGCGGGCATCCTCAAGAGCCGGGTATGCCATGAGCGTAGAACCATTGGTCCTCTGAACGGGATCTACTTCCAAGGTTCTCCCTAGTCATTAGGGATCTACGGCAATCGATCTGTAATACACGATGAGGCAGAGCTCTATTGCATACGTCATATCCATACCTAGTGTGTATGTACTGTATGGAAGGGGGGGGGGGTTATTGATCATGAAAAGAGAGAGAAAAGAAAGCCACACAGCGTTAGCCATACCTCCTGCGTAATAAGGTTATAGGGTCAAAAGCTCGCCTCAAGATGACCGCGAGTGGGCCACCACGTTCAGAAGCAGTTCCCACCAAACGCCTCAAGTTCTATTTTGGTGTCAGCTTACATTCCTTTTCAATGCGAGATCCAACCCGCTGGAGCACATTCCGCCTATGATCCTCACCGCATACTTTCTTGCACGAAGACCGAAGCTTCTTGGGAATCGAGATATCCCGGTCCAACTGAGCCTACCCGACGCACCTTGTGATGAGGCGACAGACCATCTATTCGATCGTTTAAGATACCAGGTTTCGCCACCAGAATTTTCGAGCCAAGTGGTGGATTGAAAGCCTAGTACGGAGTACTCTGTAACGGTATCCTGTTTCTGGCCTACAACAAACTTGGAGGATGGCAGTACGTCACTGAAGCCAAGCGATCGGCCCCGTTACGTTGAGGGAAAAAAAAAAGCAAACATGGGGATTTATATGCGCTAAGCGGGAAGTACGGTGACTAGAGTAATCCCTTGTTTATCAGGGAGAGCATGATATCTCGCAAAGTCTACATCAAGCGTTAAGATTCTTTCGAGATACTTGCATGTGAGTAACCCAACCACCCTCCCCCCCGGAGAATCAACACCATTCTCAACTATGTAAGTTGTATACAAGACACAAGTGGAGAGACGGGAATAGCCCCAACCGTAAGGTGGGACCCAAAGCTTTGAGGCTGTTCGGGGACAAGTGGAAGAGCTGGGGTACCTGCTCCATTCGGGATAGAACACTCCGAGTAACTACCGTTGATGCAGATGCTGCGTCACAAGCCATCCCTTGCAGTTGCCGTTTTCTGTCCCCCTATCAACTCCTGTGCTCCTGACGTGTTCCAGGGATTTTGGGAGGAGAGGGAAAACTCCAAGTTTACAATGTCGGCCCCCTTTCTTTCTTTTTTTGCCTATCCCTTTTGTTTAGAGAGACGTGGATGTTACTGGAGGCACTTCTAGACCCTGTCTGAAGGAAATGTAGTCGACTTCTGCACTACTCATCCGTGTATTACCAGAAGAAGATCATTCCGAACCTTCTTTTTCAATTGACAACTTCGGGGTAGATCGGAGTAGATCAGCCGCGGCTAACCTTGACCAAATTGGCTTGAGCCTAGTTATGTATATCGTCTTTTCATGAGTCTTTGAAAGGACGAATTCCCGAGCGCCCCTATGGCTTGTCCTGCGGGCGAGAATCGCACTATGTACGAGATATGATATCATGTACACAAGCCCATCACTCCGATTTGGCAAGACACGGCAGCCCCTTTGGAGACCCTGATACCTCAGCTGTGTATAGTATACATCTCATGATATAGACTTGCTGGTACCTCAAGAAGGTCTCTGAAGACTCCCGGGTTGTTGTGAAAGGGGGCCACAAGATTGGGAAGTTTAATTAAGATACGGTCACATACGGGGGTATTCTATACGGTACCATTCCAGGTCCGGTCCAGTCTCGCATGGCTTGTCATTCGGGCCTAGGTGGAGCTTTTCGTACATCGGCTGGTAATGTGGGGGTTGATATTTTTCAACGGCAATTTACCAGTTCACTTTCTGGCTTTTAGAGGTAATGAGTTAACAGTTCAACCTTGAAAGTTTCACAAGGCCACTAAACCTAAAGTCCCTCGGTATCAGACGGTTTTCCGAGGTGGTACACTGTTCTGGGAAATATGGAGACCAAATTTCCTTTGTATAACAAGGTTACGAAATAGAAGAGGAAATAAGGGGGAAATGAAGAGAGATGTAGGCAGTGAGATTTCCAATCGACTCTGATAGGTGTATGAGTAGATATCCTGGGAACGGTATCTATGTTGTATATAAAAAAAATCATAATAATAATACATAATATACGAAGAAGCACAGAAAAAAGAAAAAGATAAAAATGAAAAAAAAAATTAAATAAACAGTAAGTAAAAATTAAGTGAAAAACATCCCAAAAAAAAAAAAACTAAGAAATTTTAAAATAACATGCTCTCTCTACGGTCCCATCCGCGCCGTTTTTTTCCCCTTCACCAAAGGGTCTTAAATCTCATTAAGTACTCTTTTTAATACTTTGCGGCTCCTCCCCTCTTCTATAATCTTTCTGATCTTTTATCGTATATCAGTCCCCTCTTATATTATGCTCTCCATTCGCAGTATCCCGGCCATTCAGCCTGACCAGGATTAAAAAAAAAAATTTTAATTTTTTTTCTCTCTTATTTCACGGTCGTCTGCGCATATGCGCTTACGGTTCCCCTCTTTCCCCCTTTGTCTATTTCCTTTCCCTTCAAGTTTCCTTTTTGTTATTCGCGCTCTCAGATCTTTGCATCATGGCTCCAGGTAGTGGGCGCGACTTTAACTGCCCATGGGATCACTGCGGAAAGGTAGGGCGCTTCAGCTCTTTCTACTCTTTTCCCTCTAACCTGCGATTTGGTAGTCTTTCAATCGCAAGTCGGATCTCTGCCGCCATTATCGCATTCATACAAATGAGCGGCCGTATCAATGCACCGTACAGGACTGCAACAAGAGCTTTATTCAGCGCAGTGCCTTGACCGTACATTCGAGGACCCACACTGGCGAAAAGCCCCATGTTTGTGACCATGAAGGCTGCCAAAAAGCATTCTCAGACGTATGTACCTTTTTGGATTGGGAACGGTTGCGCAATCACTGATTATCGGTTATAGTCATCGAGTCTGGCCCGTCATCGCCGAATTCACACCGGCAAGCGGCCATACATATGCCACGAGCCTACTTGCGAGCGGAGGTAAGCCATTGGGATGGAGAGATGGGAAAAGCACCGTCTAACGATCTTTTGGAAACTGCAGCTTTTGTCGCAAGACCACCCTCACCAAACACCAACATCGCTCCCACCCGCCAGGGAGTATGACCCGACCATCCTCAGAAGATGCGACCTCAGAGCACTCCTACCAAACACCTGTACCAGTCACGGTCCCGAGTGAGCAGTACGTGCTCGCCCCGCAACCTTACTACGCGCCATCGGCGACACCAAGTCAGGATTTTTACTCGCCTCAAAGTGTGTCGATGGGCTCCGTGCCGGTTCACGAAGCCGCCCCTCCGATCGTGTCTCACACTATACCTGTGACCTCTCCGGTAAACATGCCACATGTTCAACACCATGCGCATCCACATCAAGTTCCGCAACAGCAACAGCACCAGCACCAGCACCAGCACCAGCACCAGCACCAGCACCAGCACCAGCACCAGCACCAGCACCAGCACCAGCACCAGCAACACCAACACCAACAATACCTACAAATGATGCAACAGCGTTACGACACAAGTCCACGGACGAACTATCTCCCAGAGCAATATCAACACTCATCTTTTCAGGGCCATCAACTCCCACCCGATCAGTCAATGATGGTTTCATACCACCCAAACTATACGTACAAACCCCCAGGCTCCCGTCTCTTAAACCAAGCGGAGGGGACTGACTGGGGCTTTCTGGGAGTAGGCTAAGAGGGGATTACACCTAGATTCGTGGATCCAATGCGTGTTCAATGTCCGTTATGACTCCCCTGCTTTCTCTGGTGCCGGTTCCTTTTTTGGGGGGATTTCAACCCGGAAATTCACCCTTTTTCGTGGGATCTATCTTGGCTCTTTTCAATCCCTGCTCCCCTTTGCGGTTTCTGGGCGCTTTTCTTATGGATTCCCCTTTGCGATGCTCTATAGTTTTTTTTTTCTACTTCTATAAATTGTCATTTTAAACGGGGGCAATGGTGTTTCCCTTCTTGACGAATCTTTTCTTGATACCTGGACATGGGATGTGTGTGTGTTTTTTGGGGTTTTTTTGGGGGGGTTTTTTTTCCTTTGAAGTCTTCCAATTCCTTTTCCTATTATGTTCCCTAAATCTCTGGGTGTATTAGTCGTCTATTTCCACCCATCCGATTCCGACGAACTTCTTTCCCAAGACCGTCATCCCGATATTGCCCATGGCATCTCAGCAGAAGCTAGTGTTTCTAAGGAATATTACTGCGATGGAAACTCCAATCCCATTGGCTCCCTCCAAGATCTAGCTTTTGAATCAAATCCGTTTCCATGCTTGCTTACCGTCATTTTTTCAGCTTCCCGTATAATCTCACCACGTTGGCTGGGTAGTATCAACCCACTCGAGAGCTCGTTCAGAGAGTGTCATACCATGCCTAGATTGATCCGAAGATTACATGACTCGTGTCTTTTTCTTTCTTTCCCTTTGTTTCTTCCTGGGTTCAATGTTTTTTTTCGATTTCCATTTGGTGGCCCCCTTACCCTATTCCTCGGAGTTCCCAGGAAAGCCAAGGAGGGCCAAGGGCCCAGGGAAATTCAAAGAGCGCATCCCTGTCTCGCTAACAAAGCGACCGTTTTTTTTTTTTTTTTTTTTGGGTTTCGCGCTCGTTCTCGCTTGCCTGTCTAGAATGGTCTCTTCCTCCTTCACTATGTTGGGCCTCAAAAGCCGACATGGAAAACGAGCCATCTAGATGACTTGTGTACATATCTATTTACTACAGGGTCACTGAATCTACTTGTCGATCCCTACATCACCATCTTAGACCATATTCGGGCAAGGTTTTTTTTTTCGCCTTCTCTTCCCGAGTTCCCGAATACTACAACCATTTGTTCCCCCCCCTTCTCCCAACATGATTGCCTGTTTTCATAGACAAACCCTAGTCGATTCTTCTGGTAGGGATCTCTACCCGGTTGACCTTCTCCAGATCGAGTCACCGTTGATCTCAGGAATATTCCAAGGTGGCACTCTGGCTAAGACACATCACAAGTAGCAAATCAAAACACCACCAGTCTCTCAGCTCCGTGGGGGGCACCGGAGTGCTCGGTAAGTGTGTACCCCCTAGGGCCTTGTGGCAAATCAAAATTCCGATTGATGTTTCTTTAATCAATGGGAATTCCGCTTCTCGAGTACTTTGTGAGACCCTGCGTCATTCAGGGTGTGGTGTGTGTATGTTTGGGGTAGTACGGGGGGGGGGGGGTTCGAAAGGGACCAGGTACTTGAGATTCTTCAGCAATCGATCCATACGAACTACGAAAGGAGTGTTGAGGAAACATTCTTGGAAGTACGGAAGCCCCTCCGTGGGTTCATTTTAAATCTTCCCGGGGAAAAAAAAATTCCGATAAGAAGAACGGGGCAGACATCGTAAAGGGCAAATCTCGACTTGGATGTGACCAATGCAGCACAAAACCGGTTTTCTGTGGTCAAGGTCAGGAACGCATACCATTTCCGATTTGAAAGGAGAACCCACATCTTGATGTCCGAGATGGGATGGATTTGCCTCTCGTTTCTCCTTTCACCATGTTTCGCTCTCTGGAGGGATATTTCTTTCCCTGGCTAGTTTAAAAGAATCCGCAACGGAGTCTCCGGACTTACGGCCAGACCTGCCAACACCCTTTCACGGTCGACGCAGATCCGTATAGGGGGGTCATGGCCCAACCTGTCAAGAGTGGAGAGTCACAAGCCCGGTGGAAGATGAAAGGGCCGGTAGATCCCGTCTCCAGAAGGATCATTTTTGGTTTTTTTTTTTTTTCTTTTTTTTCTTTTTCTTTTTCGGTTTTTTTTTTAAAAAAAAAAATTTCCGAAGACCCGACCGATCGGTGCCAGGCTGTTTCGTTTCCCAGCGGACTGGGATTTAGAAGTGGACACAAAAGCCCTCAGACTCTACCTCGGTGATTCCATATGATCAACGCCGTTCATACTCCGTATAGCATAAAAGAGTCCGGGCTCAGAGTACTCTGTAGCGTGTACTCCGTGATGTCCACATGCAAGTCACAGACTGTACGTGAATTTGGATGCGTTGGCCTTGAAAACGGGGTTCGATGCCTCCAATCGTTGAGGGTGGACAAGGTTCTTGGAGTCGTGATTCATGTCGCCTCATTCCTTGCTCATTTGGTCTCTTCCGATCGGAGATTTCAAGTAAACTGATCTGAAATTTTTTTTTTTTTTGGAAATTTTTCTTTCTTCTTGCCTTCCAATCGATCCAGTAACTCAGAAAGTGGCTGCGAATGGGACCCAACCTTTGAACCACTCTGCAATACACTATGCTGGACGGAGTACTCCGTACTCCGTCGAAACTGAATTCCTCCGCCGCAGAATACCAAGGACCAATTTCAGGCGATGATCTCCACTCAATCCGCCCGGGTCTGGTCTTGCACCGCCTTCGCTTCTGGAGAGGTGCCAAACTGGGAGCTCAGGGCAGCCTCCGCGGGCGCATCGGACTATAGATGCCCGGGGAAAGAATCAGAGACGAACATCTAGGCGCTTGCGAATGAATGTATGTTGTATTAGAAAGTGTCGGGATGGCAATGAAACCAAAGCACCAGATGCTCTGGCGCGATGGTGATTGGTTGACTCTCCGTTGTGTAAATGCGCAGACGGGGTAAAGACGCACTAGTAATGAAGATCGCAAAAGAGGATCGAATGTTAGCAACTGGTCATGCAATTTTAAAACAGCGGATTCACGATCGGACACTCAGGTCTTGCGGCCAACGACCGAGACTGGTGTTTCCGGCCCCCATGCCAAGCCCCTTTTTCAGTCGCTTTCGGCGTTCTTGGCCCTATCGACATCCAGGGGCGCAATTTACTCCGTAGGTACCAAACACACCGGAGATGGACATCGGGGATATGAGACGTCGAAGCTGCGGGCGAGGTTTTTTAAGTTCATCTCCGTATTGCAGCCTGGGAAATACCGGAGTGGAGAGAGAAATAGGAAGGCAGAAAAATGGAGTGGCAGAACTAGGCGCTGGTATTTCCCCTTTTGGATTGATCGGCTATCCATTCATTTGCTGGTTTTACTATAATATGCAGGACAGAACGTACATAAGCTCCTATGCAAGATCCCTACGCCCCCCCCCCCCCCCCCCCCAACTAGTCGGTGTGGGGATGTTTTCCAACGGCGATCAAAGGGAAATAGAATGACTGGATCCGCAGACGACTTCTCCGTGTGAGGGGGGCAGAAACTTGATTTGCTAAAAACACCTCGGTGAAAGGGTATGGGAATTTCTGTCAGTGGGGGGGGGGGGGGGTCCCCGGGTACGGAGTACTCCATACGGTGTCTAGTGAGGTGCAAATCGAGTCTTGCCTCATGGGTGAGAGGGTTCCGAAATCGACAGAGAAAATGACGAGAGTCTGGTGATGGAGCATCGGAGTTAAGACAGTGCATTATTCCCCTATTCCCTAGGCCCAAAGTACTCGGTAGACGCCGTTGTATAGCTTGCCGGTGTTGACGCGAGGTGGAGAACGTGAACGATGATGATGGGGCGCTCACAGGAACTAGCACTGGACCAAATTCCGAAAGTGGTGGACAGGGTGGAGTTTGTTTAAAAACATCCCAGTTTCTGCTACCTAAATGAATCCAAAAGGGGTTCCCATCCTCGATCCAAAGAGATATCAACATATCTATACAACATCTACCCGGGAAAGTAAGTTTCAGGAGCTTGGGCCTTTCGGGAGCACCGGGGTACACGGCGCAGAGACTGGTGGGTGCGGGTATGGTACAGTCAGATACAGGTATGACAGTGCGGAGATGCGCTATGGACCGTTCCCGAAGGTCCACTATGATCCCGGTACCTGGGAGTGTATTTTGCTTTGGTATAGGTACGGAGAACTCGGTATCTGGTAATTTCAATACACGACACCGAATTGTGTCGAGGAAACCAAAAAAAATGCTTGGCACGAATCCACAATGTAACCTGTCAAAGACAATTTTCCTGGCAACCTCTGTTGGCCCTGTGAGCCGGCGAGATTCTGGTTCCATGTGGTTCCCGACAAGACTTGCATAATCCACATTGGGAACGGTCCAAAAGAGGAGTCCAGACTGAGCCCGTCCGAACGAGCAGTGGATCATCGGTCCAGATATTTTTAATCATTCAACCTCAACGCATCGACTCATTCCATTGAGGCTAGCCCGATCTTCAGTCAGAGGTAAACAAGCTTTGTGGGATGGGGCGAAGGACGCGCACATCTCAGATCACGGGATTTTTGTCCAATGATTTGGCGTCGAAATCATTTCCGAAACAAAGCAGTACATACTTTTGTTACGGAATACAACGTGGAAAGAGGGGGGGTCCCTCTGAACGGCAAGTTGGATACGAGCGATCGACTCATCTAGGTCAACGAAAACCAACCGGCCGATCTCAAACTTTCAAGTTTTCAATTTTTTAAAAGAAAGAAAACCAACACCAAAACCCAAACCAGAGCTAAAACAGAGCTAGAACTAGAACTAGAACCAAAAGCCAATGCACATGCCAAGACCAGAACCAGAACCAGAAACACATCACCCTTGGAACCAACTCAGTACCGCTCGGCTATTGGCAAGCAGTGGAGAAGATTCTAACCCTTGAATTGTTCTCACCATTCCCACATGGCAGATCTAATGATGGATGGATCCTCCATATAATACACAGATCTGGAAAGGTCGGAGCTCGGACTTCCCAACTCACGTCCAGAGTCCCTGAGAAGTATCGTCTCGCAGGATGAAGCCTAATATAACCAAGAGATCGCCCCCCCCCCCTCTCCTCAAATGAATGTCGGGCCTAGATCGCAGTCCGGGATCGTCTTTTCTTGGAAGCTCCATCGATCAGCGGCAATTAAAGTGAATCTGTGGATGCCGAGGAGATACAACACAGAGAGAGAGAGAGAGAGAGAGAGAGCCGGCTCTATGCACAACTCCACAACACACCGATGAATAATTCTGGTTCTCATTCTCGAGTCCACTTGTCGCGCTAACCGATGTGTGCCATCGATCGAGAGCGAGATAATGGCTGCTTGTTTCAAATGAGTTTCCCCTGGAGGTGACATGTGTGCCGAACCCTCCAAATCGAGTTTAGTCAGATCGGTGTGATAGTCGTTTTTTTTTATGTCGTTGCTCTTGCTTGTCTGTGACACGCAAGACTCTTCGTGCATTAGCAGTACCGATGTAGCATGTAACTAGCTCGGGGTACATGTTACGTGGAAAAATACCAAGATCCGTCGCACTGGAGAAACACATCGATAATCGTTTCGAGTTCTGCCGATGGGTCAAATAAGTCCAAATGCCAATCATCAGCTCTAAATTAATATTACGAACGCTCTCTGCCACCTGCTGTAAGATTTGGAACGAGACTCTCTGCGGTTCTCAAAGGATGCCCCAGGCATCAACAGCCAAGCCACTAAACCACATCAGGAAGCTTTAGACGAACCAACACCAGTGGCCCTGCCTGTCAATGGCCCGCTTTTCCTACGATCCTCACAGTCGAGGAAGGGTGTCGATATCAATAACCAGGGCAAATCACTGTATAACGATACAGTTGTATAGGGATGTCTATTATTATCGAGGGTTTCACGCGTGTACGACGCTGGTAACGGCTGCGTTTATAAGCCTTTGGTGGGACACCATTCGGTTTGGATGAAGACGCTGGGTCTGTGGAGGGCACAGTAAAGGTTGCACCATGCAGTTGCCTATCTAGGAATAGCCATCCTGGCAAGTGGTGCGTCAGTCTTGGATTCCTGAGGTTTTCGGCGAAGGCTGACCGGAGGTTCTCCTGGACTATTCGGGAACAGGAAAGGGGGCTTGATCAAGGGAATAGGGGCAGTGGGCTATATACGGAGTACTCCGTATACACTGCCTTTCTAGGACCCCCCCCCCCCCTTTTCTAAGTTGTAGTCAATCCTAGTCAATCAGAGTGCCGGCAAGATGGGCACATGGCGCATAGTATCTTGACCGAGGCTAGGTGGGAGGAGATTGGACGGTTACGATTTTGACTGCCCTCCCGGCTGAGGCCGAGGTTCTGGCTGCTTGGAGCACATGAGCACGTAGTTGCATGATATCGGTACTTCATGCAGGTACATCTGCAATCGTGACCTCGTATTCTGTTTCATGAGGCAGAGTTATTCCACCAGTGAGGGAAGACAAGACGCAGTTTGGAAGTATGCGCAGATATGTACTCTACAACGTGGTGCGTGTCTAATCAATCCCTCATCCGTTTCTACTTCTATTACCCGCCTCTTCTCCACTGTCAGTCTAGCTAGCAAATCAAATGAACAAGGTCAAAATGGTGAAAAATGCAGTCTATTATGCTCAGCCAAGATGTTGACCAGGCACAGCCTGACATCAAACTCAACTCTAGATCGGACCAAATGTCCCCAGTGTCAAGGCCGAGTAGTCTAGTCATCCGCAACGGCAACCTCATCCTCCCACTTCGCCACGCCCATCTCACGTGCACGCTTAACAACACGCTCAATACCATCAAGACCCATCTTCAACACATCCATCTTAGGCCCATAGCTCAGACGAACGAAGTGGTGACACGGGCTGTCGAAGAGATCACGACGCTTCGCCGGGTTCAAGTCGAAGAAGATACCAGGAACGACAATGACCTTCTCACTCAGGAGAGCATTGAAGAAGTTCAGACCGTCAGAGATGTTAGCCTGGGGAGGCAGGGGCGGGTCGAGCGAAGTCAGATCGAGCCAGATATAGAAGGTAGCCCCAGGGATATCCTGGACACGGAAGCCGATATCGTAGAGACGTCCCAGGACGTAGTCGCGCTTCTCCATGAAATGGCTCTGCAGCGCCTTCATCTCGGTGCGCACGAGTGAGGGCTCCAGCATCGGGATTGCGGCTTCTTGGAACGGGACGTTTGCACCGCCATCGAGGTACGAGCCTGCGGAGCCGAGGGCGTCGACAAAGTCTTTGGGTCCAACCACCCACGCAATTCGCCAGCCAGGAAGTCGGAAGCGCTTGGTGAGTCCGTCGATCAGGAGGACGTCTGTTGCTCGGGTTAGTTTGGTCATGTACAAAATTGAGTTGCCGGGGGGGGGGGGGGGCGTCTGTCGTACCATCCTTGTTCACGTCAACAACGTTCGAGGCACCGCTGATTGTCGATCCGTCGCAGCCCGTTGTGTAGTTGTATCCACCGTAGAACTCGTCCAGGATGAGAGTCGCACGGTCACGGCAGAGGTCCTGAATTTCCACCAGCTCCTCTTGCGGTACGAAGTGACCTGTGGGGTTACGAGGGTTGGAAGTCAGCAGCACCTGAGTGCCACGGGCAATTTCCTCGGCGATCTTGTTGGGGTGGATGTGGTAGTGGTCATCCTTTGAGAGAGGAAGGGGGATAGGAGCAATCTGCAGAAGAATCAGTAAATGGCGATTTGGTGACACTTTCTAGCTTAGTGAAGCTTTTCCGACAACGTACGTTCTTGAACAGAGTCAACATCTCCGAGTACGCAGAGTAATCGGGGATGGGGAAGGACAGGTACGAGTTGCCCAGAATGGCAGCAATGCGAATCAGGCCGGCGCGACCCCCGGGAACAATGCAGACATTTTCCCACGTATACTGGCTCTCCTTGCCCTGGCGGTAGTGTTCGTTGTACAGACGAGCGACGGCGGCGCGCAGTGGCTTGATACCGGCGGTCGGGCCGTATTCCCGAGCAGCGGAGGTGATGGGAATGGAAGTCGGACGAGGGAAGCTTCCCTCGATCTCGTCATCGGCCTCAGGGGCTCCCTGGCCGAGATTGGCCCAGCCGGTGGGATCCTCGGCGTAACCATGCTCACAGGCTCGCTCCGTGCACCAGACGACACCGGTGGAGGCACGAGAAGCGTCGAGACCAGCGTGAGGACGGTGACCTTCGTGAGCGGCTCGAAACTGCCGATGAGTTTCTGACTGGAGTTCTGAAGATTGAAATGTCAGAAAGTGTCAGAAAGCGTCAGAAAGTGTCAGAGATGTGATATTGATTGCACATGCACGCACCATTCTCCGTCAAGCTCTTGGTGGCCGAGAAGCGGCGGCTGTCCGAGGGGCGCAGGATGCTCAGGCGGCGGCCGGAGAACGACATTCTTGGCGAGTTTTCTGGTTATCAAATAAAATGTTTGTAGGCTCTTTGTTATGATTATAAGATAAGAATAGGGATTTCAGCAGGTGGGAGGGGGTAAAGAAGAAAGAAAAAACCAGCTTTGACACCGAGCCGCTTTTTGTTTTATAAATGGACGCTTGCCAGCAAATGCTGGGCGACTATTCGACGGAATCACCGACTTTGCCCTTCCATAATTCCCTCGGACATCAGGAGCATTTCCAATCCATTAATAGCGCAATTGAGGTATTTGAGGCATTTCCGATAGAGTGCTTTGCCCGGACAATCTTCTTCAACTGTAGCCGATATTGCCGGGAGCTATACTTAGGCAAGAGTTTAGGTATAGTTACATATTCGAAATGGGATTGGAGCTAGCTTAGCTCTAATTGCAGCAGATCCCTGCCAAGAATTGTCGGCTATCCGGCATCCCGATCAGATAGGCAAGTGGATACGGATTAAATGGGAAAAAGGTTGAATAATTCTATGCAACAGCCCCATTAAAAAAAAACATAGGCATATACATCATATAGAAGCTTCGTACGTTCGTGGACATTGAGGTACTAGTAGATCAGTAAAGAGATAAACAATCCGCGAAATGGAAAACGCAAATTCAAAACAATGCAGGGGTGTCTTCGGACAATCCGTTCACCTCGTCACCAGGACATCATTCAGGCCGTAAACAAATCATAAGATGCTCCGGAGAACAGTCCAATTACATGCCACGGCGTGGCTCGCTGAAAGTCACAAAGAAGATAGGGAGATAGAAAGAGGTATCTCCTCCGAGAACGGCTGCTCAACAGTTTCAAGCCAATCCGGTTGGAACATTAAGGGTCAGGATGGGAGAACGAGCGTCACAGGCCATGCAAAGTTTTGAAAAGACGGGGATCGACGTGATCCTTGCGGTGGGGGAATCAAGGGAGGTATTAAGTCAAGAACGAGCAGGAAAAGCAAACCAGAAAATGCAAAATGATCTAATCGACCACCTGGCAGTAGAGTTCAATCTCTCCCACCAACCCCTTGGCGAGCATTTCACGATGTTGTTCCCGCCACTCCATAAATGCAAGTTGGACCGCCTCGTCACTATCAATCGTGACGAAATCACCATCCTCATCGCGGTAGCGCAGTCGAACGGATTTGCTCTCGATGGATCGATCGGTAAACCGAGCGAGTTTGGCATCCACGCGGTCCGTCAGTGAACGGAATAAAATGTTGCTCGCAATTACCAGCGTGACATAGTTGTCCTCAAAATTCACCTTGGCCTTGAGTTGAGTAGGCATGTAGTCTCCTTCCTCGGACTCTTGTGGCTCTTGGGTCAGGGGCGATGTAGCATGGTCGGAGGTTTCCTCGGAATCGCAGTTATCGTTGTATTCAGGCTCGTTAAAATGTGTGGTGTGGATTTGGGGTTGGGTGCGAATAGGGAGCTGATTGTTGGTGGGCGAAGCATTCTGGCTGCGGTTGACGGGGGCTTTCATATTGGCCATGTGTGCAGGAATCGGTGGCACCGGGACATCGTCGACTGTCTGCATAGTGTGTACTCCCATATAACGCCGTGATTCAGCGTTGTTGTTGTGATTGTGAATATCAGGGCTACTAGCCGATCGCATCCGCTGCGTCATGCCATTTGCAGACTGAGCTTGCGGACCCGAGAGGGGTGGCAATGACGGACGCTGAGAACCTCTTACAATAGGCTGAGGTGGGAAATATCCGCCAGAGATTGACCCTTCTCGCGATGTTACACGAGATAACGCTGGTGCTGTGTAGCGAAGGGTATCCTCATTCCAGACCGTTGATGGAGTGGTAGAATTTGTATTCTGACGACCGAAGGAAAATGCAGCGGACTGAGAGCTCGATCTCGCGGAAGCGGTCTCCGCTGTGGGGGAAAAGTAAGAGCTCATGTTTCGATCACCGGGGGACATGTTTCCACCGCCGGGGAACTGAGTGTGCACCGAAAGCATGGGATCAGCTACCGCAAAGCGCGGTCGGGTGTTGTGGTGCGGAACAGAGGTGGTGCTCCCATTGGTGGCAGATCGGGTTCTTAGACTAGTACTGGACGCATTTCGGCTCATGGGAAATTCGGACTGTAAGACATCTTTGTGGTTGGCGTCATCGGCATCAAACTCTTGTTGTTGATAGGGGTTTGGCATATGCGCCATGCCCTCCATAGATGTGAACTCGCTGTCAGATGTACCAGTATTGCGCAACGTGCGTCGCTCCGCTTGGATCACCCGTTGGGTATCAATGTCTTTGTACCAATTCCGCATGGTGTCTTCATTAATATATCGGATGATGAAATTGTCGACGACACCGGGGTCTCCTTTCCAGAAAATCTGAATACGGTACAGTCCTGTTAAGATCAGTCAGAGACATATTGGTAAATTCAACAGGTCAAGAGTAGTGCTTACCAGGTTTTTGCAGACAAACAATATCCGTGACATTGGCCATATAGATCCGACCCTTCAATTGAAGACGAGCCTTTCCTTTCGCATTCAAATACGGCCTATCTTTTTGCATCATAAGCTTAGACTTTTGCTTGTTGGGATTGATATCTTTGCAACAGAGAAGTATGCGCTCGAAGAGGTAGATATGGTACTAAGGGCCGTGTCAGCAATGTGCTATCTTCGGGGAACAAAAAAAGGGACAAGATGCAGAAAGCGAGGTCACATACCTCTCTCTCACTATCCTTTCCACTGTCCCCCTTGACAACTTGGAAAGTGCCAAATCGAAGGAGATCTCCGAATGACTCCATCTTCAATGCTTTCCAGTCATCCACGCGTTCAGATAGATCAACTACTGCGGCAGCCAACTGGTCTTTGTAAATTGCCTGGTTAGCAAAATCCAACACATTCTGGATGCAATTGACTGCATGTGTAATATCGGCCCGGAGTTGCTCGTCTTCTAATTGCTTGCGTAGCTCCTGAGAGGGTACAACCATATTAGCTCGTTGAGATTGAACCCAGCATTCAGCAAACTCACCAAGAGCATCAGCGGGTATCGAGTCAAACGCTGGAAGGGTTTCACGAAGAATCCGTTGAGTGTTTTCGGCTGAGCGACCATTTGTTGCAGATCTATATGGCGTGGCGCACTTTTGATATTGTCCCATTCCTTCATACAGGCTTCGTCACAACGCATCTGGTTGGCAATGAAAGGCTCATACTGCCGAAATGCATCTTCATGCAGGAAGAAAAGGTGACCCCAGTTCTGCAATTTTTCTGGCAAGGCGTAGTGCTGCTCCATGCGAATCAGGAACCTCTGGGCAAAGTCTAGTAGATTGTTTAAGTTGAGGAAAATCTGATGGCTCGCATCGCCTGTCAAAGCACCCGTCTCTTCCAGTTCCTTCTTGAGCGCCTGAAGATTCTGCAGGTGATGAACATAGTCACGCTCCGTCTCTAGAAGTTCCTTGAGAATGTGCTCTCTCTTGGTAAGCTTCACATTTGTCTTCGCGGAGGGGGCCTCTAGAACTTCAGATTGCTTTAATTGACCTTGCACCTCGAGAATGTCCACCACACGGTTAACCATTTTGATCACTTTGATGAATCCGGTGGTACTCTCGCCGTAAAGATCAGTGATCAAAAAGCAATCCTGTTGAGGAAACGCTAGGTCTTGTAAACAGGCCTGTAGGAATTTGAAGGTCGCCGCTTTCGGACGCTTCGCCTCAGTTACCTTGGCAGGATCAATTTCTAGTGGCTCCTCTGGACCAGACGCATTATAAATGCTCAATAGCGGATAGCCATTTCTGAGACAATTCCACAAGGAAGCCACCGGGTCTGTATTGCCTCTTATGCGATCATCATCGTCCATCTCTTGCAGGTATGACTCGAAGTTGGGAACTTCGGATAATCGCCTCCTCAAATTGACGCAGCTCTGGTAGATTGATTCTCCACCGCGGCGGTTGATAATGTTGTCCTCGGCGACCGGAGCGCCACTCATGGCTGAAGAGTCAATCATATCGAATTTCCTCAAGGGCCAGATGCAGGTGAGTTATACCAGCCAGGCTCAACTTAAATCTGCAAAGCAGACCCAAGAGGATTCAGTTCGGAGGGATCGACGAGCGTCGGAATTAGAGAGATGACGATCATGGGTTCCCCGGGTGGGTGTGAGATGCGCGGCGTAGGGGGTTGTCAAACAAGAGTTCCGCTCGAATATTGAAGATCAACAGCGATACGATCGAATCTCGGTCGCAGGTCTGAGTGTTCTAGATGCGTATCCCGGAAAGCGCCCTCGATATTAGAGATAACAGGTGATAAATATAGGTGTATTTGTTGGAAGCAATAGCGCGGATATCAAGTGCGATGCACCGTCACTTTCTGGGGGGAAAAGGAGGGGCTCGAGGAATATATTCCAACCTGCAGCCAGCCCCAATCGATGGGGTGTGGAATTCAGGTGTTTCAACAACCGCTGCAGCCGGGCAGGCGAGTCAAATCAGGTTAAAGAGAGTCCGGAGGAACACCTTTGCGAAAGAGCCAGTCACTAGGACTAAGCGGAGGACAATCGACGTCCCGAGAATAAAGGGGGGTCACGGAATGGTGGAATAAGAGAAGCCAAAATAAGACGAACTTAGCAGGTTAGATGATGCCAATAACGAAAACGAAAAGAGCAAGCACAACAGACAGGAGTTCTGCTGATGGAACAGAAGAATGGGATCCTTGGAGAGAGGGTGAGCCGAAGGAGTCTGTTCTGTTGCCTCAAAGGGTTTAGCGTGTGTTTTATGGGGCGGTGTGATGTGGAGAGGGGCAGTTGGCTTATGCTTGTGTCAGCAGCCCTCCACCTTCCAAGGTTGGGGCCCAGGGCTGGGGGGTTGGAGCATTGGAGAGGGGGCTGGACAAGCTTTATACTGACGCTGGAGTAATCCTGGCGTCACGCAATTTACATCCATGGATAGGCGTACCTATTGTATGGGGCTCGCATACAAAAGGTACATCTACTGGGCTACATTTTAAGGAAAAATATAAGTACACCCACTAAAATGTTTCTGCTTCGGAACGTTATTATCTCCTGCATTTAGCGCCTAGAAGTGGTCTGTGCAATTGTAAGACAGATTTTAGCGGCTCCTTCAACGTAAAATAATAACACTATATTAGCACCTACTCCGTACGTATTATGGAAAATACAATCGGTACGTATGTTGTATTCTTTCTGGCTACCTCGACATACAACATAGGTATGCCCTCTCACCGTGCTAGTATGGCCCTAGCCGTGTAGAATAGAGCAGATCTAATGGAACAGGTCATAACTATAAGTACTCGGAGTTGCTCTCTAACCATGCACATACGGCAACATAATGTTATGTGACACATTGAGAAATCGGCACTTGGCTTCCTGCCTTTCTTTGATGTATCTCATGCCGATAACCCGCTTTTCTCGTAAAGTCGCTAGATACATCTAGCTATAGCCCTATGTTGTATAGCAACAACACAAACTAGAACCCACTCCATGCGCGTCTAATCGAACGTATTCATTAATTCCTTTTGAGATATGAGAGGCTTTTGAGAATAAATCTATTAAATCAAAAGTCTACGTTTCTCCTTCTGGTTCGGATCTTAAATGAAGTTTTCGTTTTTTTTTCCACTGGGCGACCGAAGTTCGTGATATTAATTGCGCTCTATCAATCTGGTGGGCCACCTTGCCTCGTTCCAACGTGACGTGACATGCACCGCGGCCAACCCATCTGCTCAATCTCCTTCCATTTCCCAACCCTCCTCTTGCAACGTACAATACCCTTATTTAATAATTTTCTGTAACATTTTCGCGATAATTTCCTTGCAGGATTTCGCAGACATCGCACAACGCCATTGATTTCGGCGGTCGACTCATCAGCTCGGCGCAGATCCCTCTGAAAACCCGCATCAATGGAGGTTGAGCCCTTGCCCGATACTCCCGATGCTCCCGATGCTCAGATCTCCCCTGCACTACAATTGCAGACAAGCACAGTCCCCGAGTTCTCCGCGCCTTCTCTGTCCCCCTTGTTTAGGCTAGATGAAGGCTACTCGGATGATACGCGAAGTCAGGCCGACAAAGATCTGGGATTGGACAATGTCATGGCGCTTCCAAACTGGGTACTAGCCCAGTCCGAGGCCGGCAGAGCTGGTAAGATATCCCTTATCTTTTGCCCCTGTGGTAATTGCCACGAGGGTGAAGCACCAGCCTCTTTTTCGTGTCGCTTTGCTATCTTCCTTGCTAACCGAGCGTATTCCGACTGCTAGAGCTCGCATACAGCCTTCTTCGCTCTCTACGAACCTCAAGCATCGCCGCAGTAGTCGACCGACTTAACCCCATCCTCCATATTGACCCGTGCGTCAGGCTTCCCCCGGAAGTCACATGGGAGATCTTTACCTACCTCGACATTCGGACCCTTCTGAATGCCTCGCTTGCATCCCGCTCATGGCGTGAACGTATCCTCGACTCGGGCCTGTGGAAATTCCACTACATCCGTGAAGGTTGGGTCATGGACACGAGCGCGATTCGTGCGTTTGAGCAAGAACATTCCGAGGTCATGTCGCCTCAGACCCGGAAGTCCCGCCTACGCCACTCGGAACTAGATCTCGGGGAACCTAAGCCAAAAAAGCGCGTACCGTCGACCTGGCTCGATTCGCGAAGCGATGAAACCCCAAGACCGACTGTGTTTGGCCCTGCGCCCCCAGTGGCCGATAGTGAAGGTGATCACCACATGACTGATGATGACGATCAAGCTACCCCTTCGTTCACTGATGACCAGGAGTTCATTCTGCCAACTGATGTTCCCCAATCTCCTATACCACTGTACCCCCCTCTACGATCGAACCTGCTCATGCGGGATAGCGACGGAAGCGCCAAAATCAACTATTTTCATCTCTACAAGCAACGCAGGCGGCTCGAAGCGAATTGGCATCAAGGCCGTTACACCAATTTTCAACTTCCTGACCCGTCTTACCCAGACGAGGCCCATCGGGAATGCGTATATGCGATCCAATTCGAGGGCCGATGGCTAGTTAGTGGGAGCCGAGACAAGTCTGTGCGAGTCTGGAACCTAGATACCAAACGACTGAGGCATCCCCCGTTGGTGGGACACGTCAAGTCCGTACTTTGCCTGCAATTTGATCCTCATCCCGATGAAGACATCATCATCTCCGGCAGCAGCGACAAATCCGTCATCATGTGGAAATTCTCCACTGGAGAAAAGGTCCATCAAATCGAAAAAGCGCATCTTGACTCGGTGCTCAATCTCAAATTCGATCATCGTTATCTTGTAACATGTTCCAAAGACCGAACTGTAAAGGTATGGAACCGCCGAGAACTTCTACCGAATAGCAAGGATTACCCGCGTATTTGCCATGGATCAGGCGCCACATATCCTACATGGATAATCGATCTAGACGCGGTTGCACCAAACGTGCTTGAAGCTGGCATTGCGCATGAGCAGTACAAAGCCCTAGAGCCTTACACGTTGCTTATGACCGTGGAAGGACATGGAGCCGCCGTGAATGCGATGCAGATCCATGGTGATGATATTGTGACGGCATCTGGAGATCGAGTGATCAAGGTCTGGAACATCCGCACTGGTGCTTGCTCGAAGACGTTGATGGGTCACGAGAAAGGCATCGCATGCGTTGAGTTTGACAGTCGAAGAATTATCAGTGGCAGCAATGATAACTCCGTTCGCATCTACGACCATGCCACTGGAGCTGAGGTGGCGTGTTTGCGAGCTCATAGCAATCTTGTTCGCACCCTTCAAGCAGGGTTTGGTGATGCTCCGGGAGCCGATAAAACCTTGCGTGAAGAAGCGCTAGCGTGTGAAAATGCATTTTTCGCCGCTCAAGAGGCCGGCTTGGACGTTGACATGGGTCATCGGGAGCAACGCCGCGGTGGTTACCGACCGAACACTGCGGGATCACGAGACCCTCGCGATATCCCTGCTCTGGGTGCAAAAATCCCACCCGGTGGAGGAGGTAGTAGCTGGGCCCGTATCGTGTCCGGTTCCTACGACGAGTCGATCTTAATATGGCACAAAGACCGTGATAACAAGTGGACAACAGACCATCAACTACGACACAGTGATGCCATCACCAATTTCGCTCGTGCAAACCTCAGCCAAGTGGCACGAACTACTGTCGCGGCCCAGGCTCAACAATTACAAGCAGCACAGGCTCTGGCGTCTCTTGGGCAAAATGCCAATGTCAACCCCCAAGCTGGTCGTACCAACCCACCATTTGTGCCTCCTCTGGTTATTAACACCGTGCCACTCAATCCTCCTCCTGCTCACCATCATCACCACCATGGTCACCAACGCAGACCTCTAGGGTCCTCGACAGCTGCGAGAGTGTTCAAACTCCAGTTCGATGCACGAAAGCTTATATGTGCCAGCGTGGACCCTCGTATTGTGGGATGGGATTTTGCTTACGATGATGAAGATATCATTGAAGCAAGCCCATTCTTCAAGGGGCTTTAATCTTTCTCTCGCTTTTACGCCTTTTAATATCAGCGTCTGTTCTTTTTTTTTTGTTTTTTTTTTGCTTAAGTGAATCTCCTGCATCGTCTCACTGGGCGCGAATCGGGGACCCTCCGATGAAAAGACGGCTCAATTCACTTGACGATTTTCTATTAGCATCCCTGCGATCGCGTTATGATTTCTTTGCCTGGTGCATTGCTCCCTGTTCTCCCGCTCTGAATGTCTATCTCTCTCTCCGTGTCCCCTTGTCCTCTCCTTGCCCATCTTCTCAATGTCGTGCCATATACGTACGGTGGGTCCTTGCTTTCTTATTTAATGATGTATCTCTTATCTTGACTTCTGTGTTAGGAATCATTCCCCCGGCTGTCTTGGATAGCCAGTTCTCATATCTTTTTTCGGAGTTTCGTTTTCCACGGTTTTCTCGATCTCAACATCTTTCATGCATGGCGCTGGTGTGGCAATTTTATCAGTAGCATTATGACTAGTCTCAATCAGAAAGGTTCGATTCCCAAGACATTCCCACGTTATATAAAAAAACCACGTCGGCAAATTTGTCTCGATCTCTTAAATGGAATGTGGGACCCGGAAACAGACTTATATCTATGACTCATCAGGAACTACATCCCGCAATAACTACTTGCAAGTTCCCTCAGGTCTATCATCAACTTCACTTCATTTCTGTATGTCATCATGGCAACCCAAACCCCAGACTACCACCTCATCGGGCTATACACCCGCTACTCCAGTAAGCAGCATGCAACGAACCATCCATACACCAGCGGACTTGGCTAATAAGCCCTCTCCAAATTAGGCTGGACCGCACGCGTCGAAGCAGTACTGGAATACTTCCAGATTCCTCACACTCCCAATTTGTAAAGCTCTCCGAGGTATGTACCTACCTTCATCCCCAACACAAGTCCAAGTCTTCAGTCACTCACACAAATTACACAGACAAAGGCCTATTCCCCAACAGGCCTTGTCCCAGTTCTGCAATGCCACTCCCTCCCCTCAGCAACAATTACAGACTCCCTCGCCATCTGCGAATTCCTTGCTGAATCCAACCCAACTCTTCCCCTCTGGCCTACTGACCGCCACCTGCGCGCCCTAGCTCGTAGCGCCGCAGCCCAAATGCATTCCGGCTTCCCAGTCCTGCGCAATACCTTTCACTCAAACTACCTCGCCAGGTACACGGGTAACGTGCCGATTCCGGTTGGCGCGGCCGCGGAGATAGCGCGCATGTTCCGGATTTGGGATTCGGCGCGCAAGGCAACGACTGAGCGGCTTGCGGCGCTGGGAGCGGTTGATGAAGGGTTTTTGTTTGGTGGGTTTAGTATTGCGGATGCGTTCTTTTGGCCGGTTCTTTGGGTGAGTTTCTTTCTTTCTCTCTTGTCGTTCATAAAAAGAACGAAAAACGGGTAATAGGAGCATTGGCTAACTTTGCTTTTTAGCGGTTCCGCTCTTATGGTCTCCCGCTAGAGGGTGCTGGGCCTGGTGCCCTGGCATGGATGGCGAAGATGTGGAGTGACCCCGTGTTCAAAGCGTTGGGGGATAGTTACTACGCGCAGGCTGAGGATCCGCATACTCGCATTGCGCACTACGATGACATCTTCCGGGATATGGATGATGTGCAGTATGGGTTGTTTCCGAAGGATTGGACTTTTTCGGTTTCTGGGTGAGGATTGTACATGTTGTGAACGAGGTCTAACCTATGCCAAAAACAGACATCATTGCAATTGCGAGAAGACCTGTAGGCTCGAAGAGCTTAGTAGGTTTCTCGTGATAGCTATCGGAAAATTATCACGGGTTTCAGCGTAGGGAAGGGCCATCTGAGCAAGGTACCTCGAGGGCTGTCGGGTGTTTCCTCCGGGTGTGCCTATTTTGGGGATTCAATGCTGAGCAAACTCTTACACGGGGTCTGTTGAGCTTCCAAGGTTGCTCCGAGACATGGTAGACCACTGACACTCTCTGACCGGAAAGCACTTCCTGGTCCCGAGGCCAGACTCCGCTCTCTCTGATCGCTTCAATAGTCCCCAGGGGCACCCGTGGGCCTAGGCATCTACTGACCTCGGAGACTTTAGCCCATATTCAGTCCATCTCCAAAGGGGAATTCGGCCCCACAGTCTCGTCTATGCTGTCGTGTGTTGTATGTTAAGATTGTATGGCAAAATCCAACCCTTGAAGCTCCCTGGAAAGTAACACACCTGGCAAAGTGGACAAGCAACTTCAACAGAGGCAGATTTAGGATACCATCAGATAGCTCCCACAGGACCTCGCCGAAGTAACTTCCCATGATTCGAAATATCAGGAGTAAGTTCTTGCCAAGAGTTCCGGGTTTCAACAAGAAAATTCCGATCTTGGCATCCAGAAGCGCCAAGCCCAAGGGGGAGGTTATATTTCCTTCAACCAAATCTAGAATCCTTCGAGGTGGAGAGCTATAGACGTTCGAATATCACAGAGTCGTGACAGGAGAACACTTGGATTCACTTTAATTCTTTCAAGTATAGTGAAGATACACAGCTGGGCGCTCATAACCACGATGCAAACGCTTCCCTGGGGTTCTTGGAGGACCTTTTTTCATTCAAAATCAGTTGGCTCTTGAACGTATACCGCCACCTTTCTCGTTCGAGCCAAATTACAAGACTTTGAATTCCTTAGTTCACAATTGGCATTGGCTCAACTGTCTAGCGGTGTACAACATATGATGTCCAAGGTACCCTACTCACGTCGATCTTTTCGCTACTCCGTACGGAAACTCCGGGCTAGAGCTACTTCTAGTTACTCTCCGGTATCCCCGGAAGGAAGGCCCTTCAAAATCCTGCCAATCGGCATCAGGTGCGCTAGCGTGCGCTAGCGTGCAGTAGCGTGCCTGAAAGAAACCTTGATACGCTTCAAGAGCGGAGCCCTCGGGGATCAAGTCTAGCTCTAGCTACGGACTACGGAGTAGATAGATAACACTCATATCCATCTCCATGGCTTCTCTATAGCCTCATCAACTCCCTATAACCCTGATTGTAGTCGATTTCCTCTCGTAGCCTTCCCAGTCCCTAGTTCAAGCTGTGATATCGAAAGCTTGCCGAAGAGAGGTCTAGCCCTTTTGGTTTGTGGATCTTGTAATCGCGTAGATAGTCCAAGGGTTTCAAGCTGGCAGTCACAGCCACAATGCCAATACTTCGGAATCTTGGCTTTCGGATTTTTCACAAGAAATGTGCCTTGGCATTCGCTGCATGGTGCAATCAAGCGCCAAGAGCCAAGGCGGAAAATCAGACGTTAGAAAATGTCTTATGTTCCCGTGAAGAAGTAGACATAGAATGTGCATCTCGGCCAAATTGGGACCTGGAACCTGCATGACTAGTTGGAGTCGTGGGGTTGTGCATCAAATCCATCCAGTCGGATGTTGTCGAGCTTCTTCACGGATATTGAGGAGCCATGCAACTGTACATCTGACCAAGACAGTACGGAGTGTGTCCTGTCTTGTTATGATGTTCAAAAGGTATAAAAGGTCTCTTGTTGGCCCTCGATTTGATCAACCATCACCATCAACCATCGCAATCAACTATCACAATCAACCATTACAATCAACCATCAACTCAGCAAGATGCACGCTAGCACCATCATCCTCGGTCTCGTTGGCCTCGCCAGTGCCCAGACACTGAACATTCCCTCTCGGGTGGGCAGCATTGTCTCTTTGCCTTCTCCCAGCGTGATCAAGGGCAATGTTGATCTGGGCAACCGGGAGTACGACCGTGGTCGTCCTTGCAACAGTGACAAGGATACCGGTATGTCCACCTAGAATTGAGTCCATACCAATGAAGCTAATTGCATGAAAAGGCTCCGTTAGTGCCGTGTTTGTCCTGGAGAACGGAGCATCCCTGAGCAACGTGATCATTGGAGCGAACCAGCTCGAGGGCATCCACTGCAAGGGATCCTGCACTCTGACCAACGTCTGGTTCCGTGATGTCTGCGAGGTGAGTCGTCTCATGTCTATCTTATCATGTCTATCTGGTCAACCAATACTAATCTGCCCCGTGTAGGATGCCATTTCCATCATCGGAAGCGGAGATGCTCTCATCAAGGGCGGAGGTGCCCAGGAGGCTAAGGACAAGGTTGTGCAGCACAATGGTGTCGGAACCGTCACCATTGATGGATTTACCATTGTGAACTCGGGCAAGCTGTACCGGTCATGCGGTAACTGCACCGGCAACAAGAGCAAGAGCCCACGTAAGGTCGTGGTCAAGAACGTCAAGGCCAGCAATGTGCCTACCTTGGTAGGAATCAACTCCAACTACGGCGATGTGGCTGAAGTCAGCGGCACCTGTGGATCCAACGTCAAGCACGTCTGCGAGGAGTTCCAGGGAGTGGACAAGTCAGAGGGCAAGGAGAGCCCGAAGCTGACATCTACTGCTTCCTGCAAGGGACAGTCGTCTCTTCCTTCTTGCTAAATTCATCTTGATCTTTTGATGGGAGAAAGGGAGAAAGGGAGAAAGGGAGAAAGGGAGAAAGGGAGAAAGGGAGAAAGGGAGAAAGGGAGACAGAGGAGGAAGGAGGAAGACGAGGAGAGGTGGGAAAGCAGATAGTGAAGTCAGAGCATCACTGCATCCCCATAGGGCCGTTGAATCTCTCTCAGACTAGTTAGTAGCTATCAATGTGATTTGAATGTAAAAAAAGCCCGAAAACTTCCTGATCTCTCACACACAGTAAACCGTTTGCCACACTGTCTCCAAATTTTCCATTTTGAGCTTCCTTACCGTGGGGGAGGTGACGAGGGTATATCATTTGACGTATCCTCAAATTCGATTAATTCACATCAGGCTTCAAACTGAGTCCAGACATGGTCTGTCGATGCACCATTGAACTCGACTGCATTATCGAGGACGCGCAGCTTAGGTTTGGGTCACATTTAATCCAAGACGGTCTTGTCGGGTTGATTTGCTCCATTGTTTTAGAGTGACTCAATTGACTTGCAGCATGCTTTTTTGATGTCAAATGTGATGAAATCGACCATCTCCCGGAACATTGGATTGAGGAGCGTATGTTGTAGGTTGTGTAGATTGTGGAGCCCGTCATTAAGACGGCTTAGATTGACACGTGACATTATACGTGAGAGGTAGAAGACAGATGGCGCACCAACTTATAGGCTATTTCGAATGCGTTTTAAAATCAGTAATCGCAATGTTTCCTTTCTGATTTTGGCTGCATTTGGGCACCCGCATACAAATGGATACATTTGTTAGGGTAGATATATATTTTGTTGCGGAGCTATTTGAGTCACAACTAAGCAAAAGAGAAGTATGGAAAAAAAAAGAGATTCGGACCATGTGGCGACTGTAATTGCCAGCTACGACCAGACGGGCTTAGGTCGAGGTAATCCATAGAAGGAATTGAACTCACAAGTATTACACAAGACCAGTCCAGTCTTATTGTAGCTTAGGGATTGATATTGAGAGCCCATTTAGCTGCATTGACACAAAAACGGAAAAGACGTGGTAGAGGAAATCTGGCCCGTACTAACGTATGGACAAAAGACAGACACGTTCGAGTTAATGATAAGTCTACTCAGCAAGCGCGGCTGGGCATTGATCACCCAGACAAGAAGGAGAACATAATCACAGTAGCAACGTACCAGGTCGTGGAAGCGCATGTACTTCAACGAAAGATTATACAGTGGCAGGGTTCACAAGAGTCGGAAACATGACGCCATACAGAGATACGATCCATGCCTGGAGGCCATAGAGACGGGCATTCCCCGCACTGCTCTCATTCTGAGATCCAGCAGGTGATACTTGGCTCTGGGCAGTGACATAAGTTTCCCGCGAGCTCGTTGCTCCAAGAGAATCATCTGATTCTTCGTGGCTACCCGTACAGCAGCAGAAAAGGCATCTCTGGACGTTCAACCACGCCAAAACGCCCGGGCAGACCGGCATGCTTGAGTGAGGGTTTTCATCTGTACCACCGCCGCAGCCAGCCATCGTAAGAACTGAATGCAACCGCGATGGGTTCGGGGGGGTGTGGTCTCTAGTCGTCCTCGTCCCTTGTGCAGAAAGCTCAACTGAATTCCTAGGACCGTCTGACCCAGCCAGATTGCGTGACAAGGTGAGAAGGGCAGTGGTCCTGGGCCGCAGTGGGCAGTTTATCACAGCAGGGACTGGGTCTGATGGAAAGGGGAAATGTCGTCCAGGCGGGGACCGGGCCAAAGGCTGGACATGTCTGTTTGGGCTTCGCCCAAGACAACTCTTTGTTTGTGCAGCCTCAACATAAGGATCGTAGCTTGTATCCGAGGCTTCGTGGCGGGCAATGGGAAGACGTTGATGGAAAGGGTGGTCCTGCAGCGGTCGACCGATGTTCATTCCATGGCCACTTTGTCGATGGGGGAATCGGCCCTGTACCAGCGTGCCATCCTCGGCTCTTCCTATGCCGTTAACGTAGATTCCACTAGCATGAGACGCAGGCAGCAAGCCAAAAAATCTCCTCAGGGTGTCGCCACACGAACTGCCACGCTGATCACCAGCAGGACCGCCACCTTGCAAGTTTGCGTGTGACCGTGCAGGGTTGTCTGGGATCATGAACCGCGCAGAGATGGACACAGCCTCTGAAGTGCCGAAAGAGGGAAGGCCAGGGGGCGTAGGCGTTCTTTCTGGCGGTGGATATCGTGGTTGGACGGTTATTACTGCAGGTCCCAAGTTCCCGGGCCATTTAGGCCTGCAGACACTTCCATCACCGAGGGAAACAGCCTTGCGGTGTGAAGGCCGACGGGAGTTTAACACCGATGGGTTTGAGTGATTTGTACTCAAAGGAGGTCTTGACCAGTGTGCGGTTTGCCAGTACTGGTCGGATAATAGTTTGGTGTGATTTCCAAGCTTCCCTGCCATTCTCTGTCGTCTTTCTTCTCTGACCAGAACACTGGTAGGAGTCTGATCCTCCTGTGAATCTGTAGGGATGAATCTGGCCATATTTACCGCTAAGCCTTGCTCGTGAACTGGGTTATCAGAGAGGAGAGACGCATAGAAACGAGGACTGGAATCATTTGGAGTGGTAACTCTGATCGCATTGTATATAGATCGTTCATCGCTTAAAATAGACTCAGACGAGTCTGGGTTTTTGTATGGTGAAATGGAGTCGGAATCTTGAGGGTGTTTTCCACGTTGGATGTTCTGTGACGCCGAAAAGAACTGCGAATGCGGGTTACTGGATTGATCGATTCTTCGGGCAAGCATTTTGATGGCAAAAGAGTGAGGCCTGGTCAAGATTAGAATATACTGGGAGAGAGTGACAGGTGGGAATAACTAAGACAAGAATGTGATTTCCGCAAAAACCCTCATCCACCATCGTGCCTGCCGGGATCAAACCAAAGAAAATTATTATAAAATCAGTCTATATGTACACCCTTGAATGAATATGCGCTCTAAACCCGAAAACGTTGAAAGTCATGATCATTATGGAGTGCTACCTGGGCTCTTGCCAGTCACCTTGGCGTGCTCCTTTTTTAGGGCTCGCAGCAACCCTTCAATTCTGCGACGCTCTTCTTGTTCAGCCTGAGAGGTGTCAGCTAGTTTGATAAAGGAGAATGGTACAAGAGAACTCACCCTAAACATCTTCATGTTCTCGTTGCGCGTGTCACGCATCATCTTCTTGAACTCATTCTTGAGCACCATGGTAGATGTCGTGTCGTAAGTGCCATCGCGGCCCACAGATGTGGGACTACTCAAGTTCATCCAGCTTATACGTTCTTCTGCCAGTTTTGTTTCGAGTTGCTCGCAACGGTCCCGAAGACTGTCAATGAGAATCTCGAAGCGTTCGCGTTCTTTTTCAAACTCGATGCTGGCTTTCGTCATGGCTTCGTAGTCATCGATGATCTCACTAAGTTCTCTTTCTAGATTATCTGCCCGCTGCTGAAGATCACCACCTCCTCGTTGGCTCTTCAGAGCAGCCAGTTCCTCAGTGAGCTCGATGTTCCGGGTGACCAGTGCATCATTCTCCCTTTGGACACTAGTGTTGGAAGCCACTACTGCCGCACGTTCGGCTCGAGTACCATAGGCCCCATCCAGCTCTGCCTTGGCCATTGTCAGTTCAGTTGTGACCCGCACAATCTCGCCTTCAAGCTCAGTCAACTCATTCTGCAGGCGAGTGGCGTTGTGGTCGGACTGCGCGCGCTGATCATCCGCCTCCTTGATACGGGCATCGGATTGAATTCGAATCTGCCGGATCGCGGCTTCAAGCTGAGCGACCTCTTGTTCGGCGCGATCACGAGCACCCCTAACTTCCTCGGATCTGAAATCGCTATCGTTCTGCAGTGTTTCAACGACGCTCTGCAGGCGTTGAACCTCGCTCTCCGCGCGGTCCCGGGCTTCCTTGACGTCTTCACCTCTAGCATCGGCGTCGTTTTGCAAAGTTTCAATTACGATATGTAGATGCTTGGCTTCGTCTTCCGCACGGTGGCGGGCCTCTATGACCTCTTTCGTTTTAGCGTCGGTGTCATTTTGCAACGATGCAATGGCCACCTGGAGGCGCTTGACTTCTTCCGCATGTTCGCTGGCCTCTCTGGTCTCTTCGCTCGTGCTGTCGGTATCATTCTTCAGCGATATAATGATGTCCTGTAGACGCTTAACTTCGTCTTCCGCGCGGCTATGGGCCTCTCTGGTCTCTTCGATCTTTTTCTCGGTATCATTCTGTAGCGAAGTATTGACCACCTGTAGACGCTTGACTTCACCTTCCGCATGGTCGTGGGCCTCTCTGGCTTCTCTGAACTCTTCGCTCTTCACATCATTATCACTCTGCAACGATGCAATGATGGCCTGTAGACGTTTGACTTCATCTTCCGCGTGGTCGCGGGCCTCTCTGGCCTCTGTGGCCTCTTCGCTCTTCGTGTTGTTATCATTCTGTAACGATTCAATTATGGCCTGTAGACGCTTCACTTCATCTTCCGCACGGTCACGGGCCTCTCTGACCCCCTCGTCCTCGATGTCTTTGTCTCCCTGCAAATCGTTGATGAATTGTTGCAGGCCTTTAACCTCGGCCTCTGCTTGATCTTGGGCATCCTGGGCTTCCCTGACTTCTTTAGTCTTTGCCTCAGCCTCGCTACGCAGTGAGGTGATAATGCTTTGCAAACGCACGACTTCACTCTCAGCCTGAGCCAGAGTCGCCTTGGCTTCTTCCTGGGGATTGCCTTTGGTGCGCATTGCGTCGAGCTGTTCCATGACAAGAGCCAATTCGTCGCCTTTGGCGTTGCCTTCGCGCTCAGACGCTTCGAGATCCTTGCGAACGCGGGACAACTGTTCCGTCAGGTCGCCGATATGGGCATCGCGCTCGGCGTCTGACTTGGAGTTGAGCTCGCGCTGTTGCTGGATTTGCGTGGTGAGAATGCTCTTCTGCTCAATGACTCCATCCACTCGGCTCTCCAAGCCGTCTATACCTGTTTTAAGGTAAGAGAATTGCTCTTCTAGTCCCTCGCCGTCAGACGGATCAGGAGGCGGAGGCAAAGTTGGCGAACGGGTCAAACCAAACCGATCAACGATTGATTGCACTTGATTGTTGATTTTGGTAAGTTGGTGTTTCCAGGCTATCTCGGCTTCAGGTGCAATGTCGCGAGCAGTCGTGGGAGCAGGAGCGTCCCCTGTATGCAAGACGATTTTTTCCATGCTACTCTCGATATAGGCTAAATGAGCGTCGACCGTTCCTGTGGGATCGACGGGCCCTCCACCCGCTGACAGCTGCGGGGGAGGATCGATGAATTCATCGGGGTTCGACTTTTTCATCAGGTCATGCATGCGCTCGCTAATTTCCTCCAATCGTCGCTCTGTAGCCTGCATAGCCTCAGTATTCATTGCGGCGGCCGCGTTGGTCTCGATCTTCCTGTCCACGCCAAAGTCATCCAAATGCTCAGTTGTCCGGTAGAGACTACGATCGTCGAATTTTAGATCATCATGGGAGCTATCCGAAGTGGGTGGAGCAGGGTTCTTAGGACCCTTCTTCAGACCCTTGTGTGTCATCTGCAAGACACCCGCAGTGTGCTCCAGCAAGCGCTGACTGATCTTCTGCGACCTCTTCTCCAGTTTCCAAAGTTCCTGTGCCAACTCCTCACATCGCCGCTGGCTGACCGCGAGTTCAGAGTCACTCTTGTCGAGGGCCTCAGAAGCCCGGCTCATCCGGTTTGAGTTCGATCCGCCATTGGCACCGTATTCGCCGCTGCTCCGAGGGCTGGGCGGGCTGTAGAGTCTACCAAGGGATTGCGCCGCGTCACGCAGTTTCGTTTCGAGTGCCAGTTTCCGCTTCGTGCCCTGGATGCGAGTGGACAGCAAAGAGACTTCCTTCTTCAACCCTTCCACCTCCTCGAAGGATAGGACTTCGTAATCCGTGCTATCCCCTATGGCGGTCTCGGTCAATAGGTACATGGTCACGGGGTCGTTGACATTCAGGAAAACCGAGCTCCGCGAATGAGCCGGGTGGAGCTACCAGAAACGAAGAAAGCATGGTCAGCCGAAGTCTCAAGTTGGCGCGTTGCCTCTCTACTCACTGGGTCGTATTGCGACTGCTCCTCGTGGTGGGGTTCCAGGGCATCTCGATACTCCTCCACGAGTGTCTTTCCATTCGGCGGTGTTGGAGCTGGAACATCGGAAGTGGCAACGTTTGAGAGATACTGTGAGTCCCCGTAGGAGGATTGACTGGATCGCGTGCTCATATTCGTGGTCGTTCAATGGCCAGGGTCTCCCCGATTAGAATGGTTCGTAGAGGAGAAATTCAGGAACAGGCGTCACGCATCATGAAATTCGAGCGCTAAAGATTGCGGTCGGGAAATGTAGTAGGTCTGAGTTAGGGGTATAGTTGTGGAGAGGGAGTGAATGTATTTTGGCGAAGGTACAGAATAGAGAGGCCAACATTAATTTAAAGATAGCGGGGAGGGAAGGGGAAACCATGATCGGCATCATTTTATGGTTCAGCCACGGTTTTTTCTCCAACTGCAAGTACACAGAGTAAAAGGAGATATTTGATTTGATATCGTACACATAGATTCAGATCTTGAAGATGTATGGAGCACTGAATACGTATACAAGACAGTTCCAAGTTTGGTCATTCCACTTTCTTCGTCTCAAGGGGTGATTCGATGATTTGTTAGGGGATCCACTCTGTAGTAGAGATAGATTCTACCATATGTACACATAGTACAACATTCAACAGCTATAAATAAATCCAAGTAACCTCACATGTTTTCATCTACCCCGCTATGCACTACCTAAAAGTAGCGTTGTAGTACTTGTGCAATGCAGCGTCACAGTAGGGCTTATCAAGTACCGCCAAGTACCCCGGTTGGGACCTCGGACCAGAGTGACATGAGAGCCAAGAGACTTGAAAGATGTGAAACTGCCCGCTTTGTTTGATTTTATTGTAGCCCGCGCAGAATGAGCTTACTCTGTCACACATCGCGGTAGACATGTCGACTCTTGAGCGCTCTCGGGATATAGAGCAGGGCTCTCGACCTATCTACAAGGTCTATAAGCGACGCTTCTGGGGTCTGGCCCAGCTGGTATTGCTAAATATCGTCGTTAGTTGGGATGTATGTGCTCCGTTACGATTAATCCCGATACTCGGCTTTGCACATGCGCTGACTTTCGTATACAGTGGTTGACCTTTTCGTCTATCTCAACAACGGCCGCGGAGTACTTTGATGTCTCGGAGAGCGCTATTAACTGGATGAGCACTGGCTATCTCTTCGCCTTCTGTGCTGTTAGCCCGTAAGTTGACATAAATTGCCATGTTGAAAAGCAAGAGAAGTCAAAACAATTAAATAAAAGTCCGCTCCAAGTATCCCATTCGCTAACCCGATTCCCAGCATCGTTATCTGGATCCTGAACAAAGGCGGCCCCAAACCAGCTATCATCACCACCGCCACACTCCTACTAGTGGGTAACTGGCTCAGATATGCTGGTACCAGAGCGAATGGCGGTATATTCGGACTCGCGATGTTCGGCCAAATCCTAATAGGATTCGCGCAGCCCTTCTGCCTCTGCGCACCAACCCGATACAGCGAGCTCTGGTTCTCAGATAAGGGCCGCACGAGCGCAACAGCAGTCGCCAGTCTCGCGAATCCACTGGGCGCTGCCCTGGGCCAGCTGATCGACTCGGAATGGGCGTCGAAACCCTCTGATATACCAAATATGGTCCTGTACATTTCGATCATCGTACGTGAAACCCATAACCAATACCTAACCCATCCTTTTTTCATTTCTCTCCCTCTCACACTTGCACTCCACCTCAAACAAACAGTCAACCGTCGCAGCAATCCCATCGTTCTTCCTCCCAGCATCACCACCAACACCCGCAAGCACATCCGCCGCAAAGCCGCACACACCACTGGGTGCAGCAGTACGCGAACTAACTAGCGCGCGTGAATTCTGGCAGATTTTCATTCCATTCTCTGTATATGTGGGCTTCTTCAACAGCGTCTCCTCACTGCTAAACCAAATCCTCAGTCCGCACGGGTTCTCCGAGACAGAAGCCGGTATTGCAGGCGCCATCCTGATTGGGGTAGGACTCGTCACGTCGGCGATCATGTCGCCAATAACAGACCGGTACAAGCACTACCTGGGCAGTATCCGAGTGCTGGTACCAGTGGTGGCAGTCACGTATATCGGGCTGATCTTCGCGCCGGGCAGTGCGGCCGGAATACCGCCTTCGTATGTGGTTATGGCACTACTGGGCGCAGCGTCGTTCGCGATGCTACCCATAACGCTAGAGTATCTCGCTGAGATTACGTACCCTATCTCTTCGGAGATTGGGAGTACCATCTGTTGGACGGGTGGGCAGTTGCTTGGTGCGTGCTTTATTCTTATTCAGGATGCGTTGAAGGCTGGAGCTGGGGCTGAACCGCCGTATAATATGCGGAATGCATTGGTCTTTGCGGCTGTGGTTGCTGTTGCAGCTGCACCGTTTCCGTTGACCGTTGGGCTTTTTGGAAGGAGTGTTCATCGTCGTAGGTGGGAGGTCGACCGTGGTGTTGAGGTACAGGAGGTTAGGGACGTGGCTCGGACGGATGAGAAAGTTAAGACGGTTAGATCTGATGATTTTGCCGTGGCAACTGATACCCCGATCAAGACTTGACGGCTGTTTCTCTATCAGGGTTCTTTTGGGATGTGCGACTTGTTCATTTCAAGGGTTTGGAAGAGCTTTGACGCGTCGCTCTTTTTATTCATCGCTGTACCATGACCATGGTGCTTTTCACGGGCCTTCATTCCCATTGTCTCTTTTTCCGCTTGAGTTGTACCCCGGTTTATGGTACCCGAATCTCTTTTGAATATGTGATAACCTCTAGGGACTTGATGCACTTTGGGTCGACATATCCTAGTTAGCGAATTGAGCATATTGTGAATCAATAATCTGGCAAGAACAATGCCGAGCCGACTTGTGCACATATGCATCCTATAGTTAGATAAGGAAAATAAGCCTAGCCTACCAGCGCACAAAGGTAATCTAGACAGATGAGATTCGTTTTAAAACAAGAGAATAAACCAAAGCACAGTTCGAACAGGCGGAAGACCAGCTATCTGTACACGCAAGGCTGAAAGAGGGGGGAAAATGACCTATTATTCTTTGTTGCTTCCTCTGAGCCCTCCTCCCTGCCTTGAAAACACAATACATATGCGCACACATACGCAAGGAACGACCAGAAAACAAAACCTCACGTTTCTGGATTGATCCTGCGTTCTCAACCCAAGGCGGCAAGCTACCAGGCTATCAGTCCGCCTTGGCAGCTATCATAAAAGCGGGATTGATTTTTCTTCCGGCGTTTCAGTCCAAGAGGTTCCCCGTACCGATGCGGTTTATAGCGAAAATAGTTCGAGAGCCAGATCGATGCAAGAGTTAGATAGAACGCCGAAATCAAGTCTCAGTAGAAGAGTCGTTTACTTCAACTCCCTCCAGAGCTTGGGGGCAGCGCACGCGGTCACGCAGTGAGTGAGGTGGAAGACTAGCTTATGTTAGTTGCACAATCAATTATCGATGGGAGGCAATTCCATAGTTTTGTCTGGTTCCATTGTTGATGTCAATTGCACTTACACTCCTCGACGCAGTCCTCCTTGGGGCCCTTGTAGTCCTCATCCTCCTGCTGGCGGGTGACGCGCTCAACGCACTCGTCATAGTGATGCTTGTAGGGAGCGCAGACGGCGGAGTGGGCGCACTCTGAGAATTAAAGTTAGTCTCCGATCGAGAAAGCCGGTGAAAATCGTCTTTGCAATGCCATTGGGGGCCATAGAACGCAGGGGCGTGTCCTAACACATAAGACCAGTTGGTGCGAACAACAGCTCGTGTTCAACGATCGCATGACACTGGCGATAATGGAATGCGAACAAAAAAGCAAAAGTCAGAAAAGCAGCAAGGCCACTCACCCTCCTCGAGCTTGGGCTTGATGTCCTCAGGCTCATCCTCTTCCTCTTCTTCTTCTTCTTCCTCGGCCTCAGCCTCCTCTTCCTCGGGGGCCTCCTCGGAAGACTCCTCCTCGGCGGGAGACTCCTCGGCGGGCTCGGTGGAGGCTGACTCTTCCTTCTCGGCGGACTCTTCCTGAGTGGTGGTCTCGGTCTCGGTGTCTTGAGCGGGAGCCTCAGCCTGGGCCTCGGTGAACCCGAAGGAGGAGACAACGTCAGAGAAAAATTCGGAGAGACCCATTGCGGCAAAGATCAATTGAATGATGACCGGAGATCTTGTGTGGGGGTGAAAAAGCGGAAGGGGGTGGTAACTGAGGGAGGTTGTTGGTTTTGCCCAAGAGCTGCTTCTTTCGGACTGGAAAATCGGAAAGGCCCGGCCGCTGAGAGACGCCAATTATGCCGCACGTGATTGGCCAATGGGTTCCAACGCCATTCAGGACTGGACAAGTGCAGTTTTTAGGGAATTTTTATTACTGGAGTTACTTCTCCTTGATTTAAGGATCTCGGATATATGAGAAAATTCAACTTTTGTTTGCTGAAAATAAGTGTAGGTGAGTTGATATCAATTCTTCCTCCCTCCATTTCCAAGTGCGTAAGAACCGCTTTCGTATCGCTAAATGCTAATTGATGGGGACATAATGTACATGAGATAAAATTAAAAAAAAAGAGCCCAGTTCAAATATGTGATAGAATGGCATGTTGGAATGGTCTCCCGAAAAATTAGATGGCGCGTCGCAGCCTCTCTTCCAGCTCGTGGGCTACACTTTGCGACTGGACCTCCTCGTAACATGGAGGCGGCTCCGCGGGTTCGAAACCGGCGTCAGACGCTCGACTGCTTTGCGGCTCTTCTGGTGTCTGGCTGGGTCTAGCACTTTGGCTAGCATTAGGCGGAGCTTCATATGCAGGCAACTCTTCCAAATGAACTGCTGAGAGATCCACGTTTTGTTGCCCTCGAGTGCTCTCGCTTGTATTCTCAACAGCCTGCTCGAGTCGTTCCTTGATCCGCTCGAAGTTGGTGTGGAAGTCAAAGGCTCCGCCTTCCTTGAATGTCACTTTCAATTGAACAGCAGGCAGGGATGGTGAGATGCCACCTCCAGATACTGGTTGTACTAGAGCTGTCCATACATTGGGTCCAAAGAATGGTGCAGAAACATGAGAGTCACGGACATTCAAGAGAGGTGACGAGAAGGACTGGAGGTCATTGCTTTTGGATGCGGGAAGGTAGATAACCTGTCGAGGGTTAACATGGCGTGGAGACATAGACTCAAATTAATACCGACTCTTTGGTTGGTGAGGTGGATGCAGCCAGCACTGCTTTGGATTGAAAGTTTTTCTGCACCTTTGTATCGGGAGGGCGGAGTCAAAGAGACACTAGTACGAGGAGGGGAGGAGTAGATCAAGCGCTCGTTGGGAAGACGGACGAAGCCATCCTGATCATCAAGCATTACCCAACTAGGCAGTCAGCGTGGATGCTTCAATATTGTATGGGTCTGGTCCTGGCCCCGGAGAGAAACAGCCATGAGAGCAGAGGCATACTTGAGAGACATGAATGCGAGATCATTCCAAGCGCATGTGACACTGTTTTTATCGGCCTAATCCCCGGGAGAATAGTGGTCAAGTTGGATGTCGAGTTGGAAGATGAAAGGCGGGGTGTGTGAGTAGCAGGTGTAGACGGCGTGAGAAGAGACCAAAACAAGGCCTAAAGACTTCCCAAAAGACAAGATTAGAAAACCACTATTCAGAGGTCTTCGAGTAAAGTGTAGACTTGCAATATCAGGGAAGTTGAAGTGGAAAGGCGGGGCAGGCGGGGAGATAAACCTGCAGGGGGAACTTTTACGTTGTACGGTGTGAAAACTGATCGTGTTTTTTTTGTCTGTAGGTCATTTTGATGTTAATTCCAGTATACTGTGTAGTTGATCATATCACCTATCTACCTGGAATTGTAAATTAAACACATCGTCTCCATCGTGTTAAGCTTGATGCTTTACGCACTTCAATGCTCTTGGCGATAGCATCCAGGCCGATCTCATTTGATAAGACCTGGAATAGCTGCATGATGCTTTGATTAGTGAACTCCAACACTCGGTATGCTTAGGGGTGTTGAGATTCTATGATTGAAAAGTTGGAAAGTTGATTTCATTGATCTCATACTGGGATTCTCGGGCCATCTTGTGAAGTTGCAATGGCCTGTGCTCACCTGGAAGGTATTGTACGGAGTGCGGAGCAGTTTCAGAGCTTTTCTCATTGTGACTGATCATTTAATTTAGCTTGCTTCGCATGTAACAGTTGTATGTACACATAAACAAGAGAATTCTTCTATTAAAAGTCCAAGATCAATCGTAAGTTGAATTCTTGTCACGTTCTGCAAGCGTCCGAGTCAAAGCGTTCCAGTCAAAGCGCGCTAAGACTCTCAAATCTTCCAGATGCGAACTTCGACCCTCCCCCTCTTCTCATGTTTTCTTCCTTGACCTCATGTTCTGATACCCTGTCTATCAAATATATTAGATCGTCTATGGTGATCTGAGGCTCGAAACGGCCAAGTGTGTGGATCCCAAGCTCTTCCGGCTAGCCGTACTCACGTTTATCTTTTCTCCAGGGACTTCATGTCGACACAATCATAATCCTTCATTATTTCACAAATCAGCTTTCTTTCCCCCAGAAACGGCCCACCGGGCTTCGACAGCACAATGGGTGAAAAAGGCCAGTACATCCCACCCCTCATTGGGTGGATGTATGATTTGGTTCTTTGGACATTCTCCGTGCTCATCGACCTCTTCTTCCGCGAAGTCCACCCCCGAGGCTCATGGAAGATCCCTCGCCGTGGTCCCATCATTCTGGTGGCAGCTCCCCATGCGAACCAGGTATGCCGCCTGCTTCCGGTCCGATAGACAAGATGCTAATGATGGATTTTCGCCCAGTTCGTAGATTCTTTGGTGTTGATGCGCGTCATTCGCAGCGAAGCGCAACGTCGTATCTCATGGCTTATTGCGGACAAGTCTTTCAAACGCAAGTTCATCGGACTTCTGGCGAGAGGAATTGGCACACTGCCTGTGGCACGTGCTATGGACAACTTGAAACCCGGAACCGGCACCATCTACCTTCCCGACCCGATCAACAAACCAACTCTTGTGCGAGGTGTTGGAACCAACTTTGAAGAAAATAGCTTCCAAAAGGATGGAACTATTGCCCTACCAACCATCAACGGAACGTCACACAGTACTGCGATCGCCGAGATCAAGGGACCGGAGGAATTGGTGCTTAAGAAGCCTTTCAAGCACAGGGATGCGCTAGCCCAACTCACTGGACGCAAAGACATTGACCGTGATGGAAATTTCACTGGAGATGCATCCGAGCAAGATCCAGATTTCAAGGGCACCAAATTCAAGGTTGCTCCTCATGTGGATCAGACTGCAGTCTATCAGGCAGTATTCAAAAGACTAGGCACGGGCGGTTGTGTCGGTATCTTCCCGGAAGGTGGAAGCCATGATCGCACTACATTGCTTCCCTTAAAAGGCAAGCTCTTCGTGTCCAATAGTTCCGAAAGATTTACTAACATGACACAGCTGGTGTCGCCCTGATGGCTCTAGGCACCCTGGCTGAAAACCCGGACTGTGGTTTGAAGATTGTGCCTTGTGGCATGAACTATTTCCATGCTCACAAGTTCCGCTCCAGGGCCGTTATTGAGTTTGGTAGTCCAATTGACATTCCTTCGGAATTGGTGGAGCAATTCAAGCAAGGTGAACGACGGGAGTCTGTCGGTGCTTTGCTGGAAATCATCTACGGAAGGCTCGTCTCGGTCACTGTCACTAGTCCCGATTATGAAACACTAATGGTTGGTTTCTTTCCATTACGGGGACATACACTTCCGCTAACAGTTCAAAGGTCATCCAAGCTGCCCGTCGTCTGTACAACACGAAAGGCAAAAACCTTCCTCTTCCTATGGTTGTGGAGCTGAATCGCCGCCTTGTGAAAGGTTACGCCCACTTCAAAGATGATCCCCGGATCGTTGAATTACGCAAGTCGATTGTGGGATATAACAAGCAGCTTCGTCTTCTTGGAATCCGGGACCACCAAGTGGCCTACGCGAAGTTCTCCATCTTGCAGGTGGTTGCCACATTGATTTACCGTCTAGGCAAATTAGCACTCTTGGCAATCGGGACGCTTCCCGGTTTGCTGCTCTTTACCCCCGTTTTCATTGCAACCAAACGTATCTCCGCAAAGAAGTCTAAGGAAGCACTGGCTGCTTCTACTGTGAAACTTCAAGGCCGAGATGTGATGGCTACATGGAAGCTTCTTATTGCCCTTGCATTTGCTCCGGCACTCTATGCCTTTTACACTGCCTCCCTCACGTATTGGACTTACTGGAACCGAGTCAATGGAATAGTTCCAGACTGGGTTCCGCTTTGGTCGGTAGTGGTGATTGGCGTGGTCCTCTTCCCCACCATCACTTTTGCGGCTCTTCGGATCGGTGAAGTAGGCATGGACATTATAAAGTCACTTCGCCCGCTTGTTCTATCTCTGAACCCATCATCGGCCAACACGCTGGTGAAACTTCGAGAGAGACGCGCTACTCTAGCTCATCAAGTAACCGAGGCAATTAATACCATGGGACCTGAGCTATTCCCCGACTTTGATGCCTCTCGGGTTGTCACCGATCCATTCCGAGAAGCGACCAAACTGGATCACAAGGTCGAAAACGAATTGCCGGAGATCAGAAGAGCCAGCGTGTCGGACTATACCGAGAAAATGCCCTCGTCAGAGCCTCTGCCCCGCAACGAGTCCTTCCACAACCTGGCCAACATTGGTTTCTTCTCCACACGACCTCCTAGTCGTAATCGTAGCCGCAGCAGATCTGCTAGCGCCCGACCTGGGTCGCAGCACGGGCTCAAGCCGCTCAGTACTCTCACCCCGAAAGACCCGCTTGAGGACATCAGTTCACGGATCCGTGATGCCATGAGGGAGCGTGGGGAACGTCGCCGGCGTCGAAGCGAAGATGGGAGCTGGGATATGGCCAGCTCAGGCCCTGGAACTCCTTCCAGCCTTGAGGAGTTCCGAAAAGATCTTTGAGATGTGGACTGCCTTGATCCTTCAATCATTTATCATCACGAACATCAACCACGGTGTTCGGTGCAAAGTTGTGTGCGTATTTTCTGTTAAATAACCATTCAAGATATCCTGTCTGTTTTAATTATGCTCTTGTTGTCAAACATTCATCTGGGGGGTCAACTGGTTATTATTGCAGAAATCTTCTACCAAGTGTAATCAAACGTGAGAAATTGTTTACAATCATCCCAAGGGAAACGATCAAGTAATCACACTATCAGTAGCAATGGACACTAATAGTAGTGGTACATCGACTCATTCGGCCCTCTATTTCTTCTCTTCACGCCCTCTGTTCACAATATTTGTCCCTGCAAATACGTATCTACGGCCGACTACTATTCTATTGTTATGATGAATGTACAAAAGGCGATTTCAGCGAGGATCCTCTAGTCACAGGCACTTAGATATAGATATGTTAAACCTGAGTGGCATACCCCAAAGCAACTTATACAGCCATAGGCACCAAGGGCAACCAATGAAGATCGCTCCCTGGGCTGATCTTGGCCGATGCATTTTTTACCTTGCCACTTCCACGGGGCTTACACTAAGAGCTGGGGCGAAAAACCCCCCCCTAGAATCTAAAATTACACATGGAAAATGGTGTAGCCTAAGTGCTTGAATTGCCTTGCCTCCAAATCCTTTTAGTAAAATTGCCCATAACAAAGACTGTAAGTAACTGACCACGTCGCGTTTTGTAGTACGAAGACAAATCCGGCCAGCCGCTTGCCGCGCACCTTTTTATCTTCTATTCTGTAACCAGTCTCTACCCGAACTCCTCGATTTTTCTACGGAGTTTAGGGGACTCATATACTTTCCACACCTCCATCATGCCTTCAATGCATCTGTCACGTCTTCGAAATTGGTTCCTCGCCTCTCCGCCTGCCGAATACGCCATCACAAGCCTCAAGGAACTGCTGATCGGCGCACTCCAACAGGGCCCTGTCCCCCAGCATGTGGCTTTCGTTATGGATGGAAACAGGCGCTTTGCCCGATCACATGGAATTGAGACAGTGGAGGGACATAATTTGGGGTTTGAAGCTCTTGCAAGAGTGGGTGCTACTATTTGGGCAGCTCGGCGTTACGCGGCTGCACCCGTATTGTGGCCCATGCTAACGACTGATAGATCCTCGAAGTCTGTTACAAGAGTGGAGTGAAGG